CGGATGCTGAGCTACACTAGAAAACAAATTTGAAAAAAATTTAGAAAAATTAAATTTGCGAGATAATCGTTCCGGAATACCGCCAATAAAATAGGGAAAAAGTTTCGAACAAAAAATGTATGGCGCACTTTTTGATTGGTCCAGCGGATGCTGAGCTACACTCAGATAAATTTTTTAAAAAATTTAGAAAAATTAAATTTGCGAGATAATTGATCGGGAATACCGCCAAAGTCTTAACCCGGGAGTCTCGAACAAAAAATGTACGGCGCACTTTTTGATTGGTCCAGCGGATGCTGAGCTACACTCAAGAAGATTTTGGAAAAATTTTCGAAAAAAAAATTTGCCAGATAATGACTCTGGAATAATGCCAAAAAATTGAGCAAAAAGTCTCGAACAAAAAATGTATGGCGCACTTTTTGATTGGTCCAGCGGATGCTGAGCTACACTCACTAAAACTGGGAAAAAATTTCGAAAAAAAAAAATTTGCCAGATAATGACACGGGAATAATGCCAAAGTCTTTAGCAAAAAGTAGCGAATAAAAAATGTATGGCCCACTTTTTGGTTGGTCCAGCGGATGCTGAGCTACACTAGAAAACAAATTTGGAAAAATTTCCGAAAAATTAAATTCGCTAGATAATCTTTCGGCAATACCGCCATACTGATTAGAAGAAAGTTCTGAACAAAAAATGTATGGCGCACTTTTTGATTGGTCCAGCGGATGCTGAGCTACACTCAAGAAGATTTTGGAAAAATTTTCGAAAAAAAAAATTTGCCAGATAATGACTCGGGAATAATGCCAAAAAATTGAGCAAAAAGTCTCGAACAAAAAATGTATGGCGCACTTTTTGATTGGTCCAGCGGATGCTGAGCTACACTCACTAAAACTGGGAAAAAATTTCGAAAAAAAAAAATTTGCCAGATAATGACTCGGGAATAATGCCAAAGTCTTTAGCAAAAAGTAGCGAATAAAAAATGTATGGCCCACTTTTTGATTGGTCCAGCGGATGCTGAGCTACACTAGAAAACAAATTTGAAAAAAATTTAGAAAAATTAAATTTGCGAGATAATCGTTCCGGAATACCGCCAATAAAATAGGGAAAAAGTTTCGAACAAAAAATGTATGGCGCACTTTTTGATTGGTCCAGCGGATGCTGAGCTACACTCAGATAAATTTTTTAAAAAATTTAGAAAAATTAAATTTGCGAGATAATTGATCGGGAATACCGCCAAAGTCTTAACCCGGGAGTCTCGAACAAAAAATGTACGGCGCACTTTTTGATTGGTCCAGCGGATGCTGAGCTACACTCAGATAAATTTTTAAAAAAATTTCGAAAAGATTAAATTTGCGAGATAATTGATCGGGTATACCGCCAAAGTCTTAACCCGGGAGTTTCGAACAAAAAATGTATGGCGCACTTTTTGATTGGTCCAGCGGATGCTGAGCTACACTAGAAAACAAATTTGGAAAAATTTCCGAAAAATTAAATTCGCGTGATAATGTCTCGGGAATAATGCCAAAAAATTGAGCAAAAAGTCTCGAACAAAAAATGTATGGGGCACTTTTTGAATGGTCCAGCGGATGCTGAGCTACACTAAAAAACAAATTTGGAAAAATTTCCGAAAAATTAAATTCGCGTGATAATCTTTCGGCAATACCGCCATACTGATTAGAAGAAAGTTCTGAACAAAAAATGTATGGCGCACTTTTTGATTGGTCCAGCGGATGCTGAGCTACACTCAGATAAATTTTTTAAAAAATTTAGAAAAATTAAATTTGCGAGATAATTGATCGGGAATACCGCCAAAGTCTTAACCCGGGAGTCTCGAACAAAAAATGTACGGCGCACTTTTTGATTGGTCCAGCGGATGCTGAGCTACACTCAGATAAATTTTTTAAAAAATTTCGAAAAGATTAAATTTGCGAGATAATTGATCGGGTATACCGCCAAAGTCTTAACCCGGGAGTTTCGAACAAAAAATGTATGGCGCACTTTTTGATTGGTCCAGCGGATGCTGAGCTACACTCAAGCAGATTTTGGAAAAATTTTCGAAAAAAAAAATTTGCCAGATAATGACTCGGGAATAATGCCAAAAAATGGAGCAAAAAGTCTCGAACAAAAAATGTATGGCGCACTTTTTGATTGGTCCAGCGGATGCTGAGCTACACTCACTAAAACTGGGAAAAAATTTCGAAAAAAAAAAATTTGCCAGATAATGACTCGGGAATAATGCCAAAGTCTTTAGCAAAAAGTAGCGAATAAAAAATGTATGGCCCACTTTTTGATTGGTCCAGCGGATGCTGAGCTACACTAGAAAACAAATTTGAAAAAAATTTAGAAAAATTAAATTTGCGAGATAATCGTTCCGGAATACCGCCAATAAAATAGGGAAAAAGTTTCGAACAAAAAATGTATGGCGCACTTTTTGATTGGTCCAGCGGATGCTGAGCTACACTAAAAAACAAATTTGGAAAAATTTCCGAAAAATTAAATTCGCGTGATAGTCTTTCGGCAATACCGCCATACTGATTAGAAGAAAGTTCTGAACAAAAAATGTATGGCGCACTTTTTGATTGGTCCAGCGGATGCTGAGCTACACTCAGATAAATTTTTTAAAAAATTTAGAAAAATTAAATTTGCGAGATAATTGATCGGGAATACCGCCAAAGTCTTAACCCGGGAGTCTCGAACAAAAAATGTACGGCGCACTTTTTGATTGGTCCAGCGGATGCTGAGCTACACTCAGATAAATTTTTTAAAAAATTTCGAAAAGATTAAATTTGCGAGATAATTGATCGGGTATACCGCCAAAGTCTTAACCCGGGAGTTTCGAACAAAAAATGTATGGCGCACTTTTTGATTGGTCCAGCGGATGCTGAGCTACACTAGAAAACAAATTTGGAAAAATTTCGAAAAATTAAATTCGCTACATAATCGTTCGGGAATACCGCCATAGTGATTAGAAGAAAGTTCTGAACAAAAAATGTATGGCGCACTTTTTGATTGGTCCAGCGGATGCTGAGCTACACTCAAAAAGATTTTGGAAAAATTTTCGAAAAAAAAAATTTGCCAGATAATGACTCGGGAATAATGCCAAAAAATTGAGCAAAAAGTCTCGAACAAAAAATGTATGGCGCACTTTTTGATTGGTCCAGCGGATGCTGAGCTACACTCACTAAAACTGGGAAAAAATTTCGAAAAAAAAAATTTGCCAGATAATGACTCGGGAATAATGCCAAAGTCTTTAGCAAAAAGTAGCGAATAAAAAATGTATGGCCCACTTTTTGATTGGTCCAGCGGATGCTGAGCTACACTAGAAAACAAATTTGGAAAAATTTCCGAAAAATTAAATTCGCTAGATAATCTTTCGGCAATACCGCCATACTGATTAGAAGAAAGTTCTGAACAAAAAATGTATGGGGCACTTTTTGATTGGTCCAGCGGATGCTGAGCTACACTAGAAAACAAATTTGAAAAAAATTTAGAAAAATTAAATTTGCGAGATAATTGATCGGGAATACCGCCAAAGTCTTAACCCGGGAGTCTCGAACAAAAAATGTACGGCGCACTTTTTGATTGGTCCAGCGGATGCTGAGCTACACTCAGATAAATTTTTTAAAAAATTTAGAAAAATTAAATTTGCGAGATAATTGATCGGGAATACCGCCAAAGTCTTAACCCGGGAGTCTCGAACAAAAAATGTACGGCGCACTTTTTGATTGGTCCAGCGGATGCTGAGCTACACTCAGATAAATTTTTTAAAAAATTTAGAAAAATTAAATTTGCGAGATAATTGATCGGGAATACCGCCAAAGTCTTAACCCGGGAGTCTCGAACAAAAAATGTACGGCGCACTTTTTGATTGGTCCAGCGGATGCTGAGCTACACTCAGATAAATTTTTTAAAAAATTTCGAAAAGATTAAATTTGCGAGATAATTGATCGGGTATACCGCCAAAGTCTTAACCCGGGAGTTTCGAACAAAAAATGTATGGCGCACTTTTTGATTGGTCCAGCGGATGCTGAGCTACACTCAATTAAATTTCCGACAAATTTTCGGAAAATTAAATTCGCGAGATAATGTCTCGGGAATAATGCCAAAAAATTGAGCAAAAAGTCTCGAACAAAAAATGTATGGGGCACTTTTTGAATGGTCCAGCGGATGCTGAGCTACACTCAACAAATCGTGGATAAAATTTTCGAAAAATAAAATTTGCGAGATAACCGCTCGAGAATACCGCCAAAAAAATTCGGAAAAATTTTCGAACAAAATATGTATGGCGCACTTTTAGATTGGTCCAGCCGATGCTGAGCTACACACAAAAACATTTGGGAAAAATTTTCGAAAAATTAAATTTGCGAGATATTCTTTCCGGAATACCGCCATTAAAATAGGGAAAAAGTTTCGAACAAAAAATGTATGGCGCACTTTTTGAATGGTCCAGCGGATGCTGAGCTACACTCAAAAATATTTTGAAAAATATTCGAAAAATTAAATTCGCGCGATAATCGTTCCGGAATACCGCCAAATTCTTTAGCAAAAAGTAGCGAACGAAAAATGTATGGCGCACTTTTTGATTGGTCCAGCGGATGCTGAGCAACACTAGAAAACAAATTTGGAAAAAATATAGAAAAATTAAATTTGCGAGATAATCGCTCCGGAATACCGCTAAAGTCATTAGAAGAAAGTTCTGAACAAAAAATGTATGGCGCACTTTTAGATGGGTCCAGCGGAGGCTGAGCTACACTCAATTAAATTTCCGAAAAATTTTCGGAAAATTAAATTCGCGAGATAATGTGTCGGGAATAATGCCAAAAAATTGAGCAAAAAGTCTCGAACAAAAAATGTATGGGGCACTTTTTGAATGGTCCAGCGGATGCTGAGCTACACTCAACAAATCGTGGAAAAAATTTTCGAAAAATAAAATTTGCGAGATAACCGCTCGAGAATACCGCCAAAAAAATTCGGAAAAAGTGTCGATTAAAATATGTATGGCGCACTTTTTGATTGGTCCAGCGGTTCCAAGAACCTTCAACTACACGACCTCTCTGATATTTTCGACGTCCGATCTTACATTCGTCGATTTCAACTATTTCACCGATGCCTCCAATTTTTCCCTCTTCTTCCAGTTGCTGATCAAGTGCAACCATGCAAATTTCTCGACAGAAAGAGAATCGATCAGCAACTGTCTCTCGTGACAATTGCTGACCTTCGATTATACTTGATTCTCTTAAAGTCTGCTCAAAACTAAAATTGATCGCAAAGCAATACGTCATCAAAATGCAAGATGCTGCAGAAATATGGGTATTCTCAAACCACGTGTTCTCTGCAACACTCACAGTGTGATTATATTTATTTTTTTTTTGGCACACGAATTGACCACATTGGTATTTATCCTCGTACAATTTCATATTTTTTTGGTGCTTAGTACAATACCTTTCGGATGGTATGAGCTCAAAATCCCGCAGCCATTGAAGTGTTCTTCCGCGATTTTGCAAAATTGAACTCAATTTGAAAATATTCCAGGTCTCGTCCATTGCTGCACTCTAAATAAAAGTATACGCTAAAATCAAGCGAAATAGGAAATCATATCCAACCAAAAACACCATGATAATGAAAACCTATACAACAGTCATGGTTAGACATATTATTTGACTCGCATATAGTATCATATTCACCATTACTCAGGATCCAACGAATTCCGCAAAATACTTTCGGCCATATCCACCCCCTCTCGCCAAGGTTTTTTTAAAAAGAAAAGCGAGCAGTACCTTACGCGGCCGAAGGCCGTGTTTACTATTTTGCGTTTACCGCTGCTGTAGACTCCACCACACAATTTCTGCAAAATACTTTCGGCCATATCCACCCCCTCTCGCCAAGGTTTTTTTAAAAAGAAAAGCGAGCAGTACCTTACGCGGCCGAAGGCCGTGTTTACTATTTTGCGTTTACCGCTGCTGTAGACTCCACCACACAATTTCTGCAAAATACTTTCGGCCATATCCACCCCCTCTCGCCAAGGTTTTTTTAAAAAGAAAAGCGAGCAGTACCTTACGCGGCCGAAGGCCGTGTTTACTATTTTGCGTTTACCGCTGCTGTAGACTCCACCCCACAATTTCTGCAAATTACTTTCGGACACATCCACCCCCTCTCGCCAAGATTTCTTAAAAAGAGAAGCGAGCAGTACCTTACGCGGCCGAAGGCCGTGTTTACTATTTTGCGTTTTTCTCGAAAAATAATGACTTTTGGTAAAAAATGCATAAAACATGAAATGTGTGTTTTTTAGAGATCTACAACTTTTGTCTAAAACTTTTTTCGAAATTTTTTGTTTTTTACGAGATAATCGTAAAAAACCATGATTTTATGGTGTTTTTTATGGTTTTTACCATGATAATTAAATTTCCGCCAATTTTCACTATGATTTTCGTAATCAGCGCACCAAATTACGTAGGGATACCAAGTTTTATCGAAATCGGAGGTATGTGCTATTCGGAACTATATCCGAAGAAATTTTTTTTTTTTTTAATTTAAACTCAATTATTTGATTTTCATAATAGTTTGAACTTATATTTTTTGTTCTTTATATAGTATTCTTGATATTTAAAAATCCTTTTATTTTAACAAAAATTTTTTACTTTAAAAAAAAAGTTCTTTTATATATTTATAATTTTCTTTATGTAATGGGTTTTTAATTTTAAGAAGTGTAAATTTTAATTATTTTTTTGATAAAAGTTTTTTAGTTCCTGATGTCTGTTACAGTTTTTAAATTTTGGCGCCTTTTTGTTGAAGTATGTAATCGGAACATTAATATTCGCTCTGATTGGCTGTTGCTGAGCAACCATATAGACGCCAGCAGAGAATCCAATCACTTTTCGTTTCTTTTCTAAATGTTCCAAATGTTTCTTGTTTCAATTTTCTGACATTCACGTTGTTTGATCCGTTTCTTTTCTATATTTATTTCATGCTCTATGTTAAAGGGTTTACTTACGTAGTCTGTTGTTTTTTGCGTTATAAAAGTAAAGTGGTCAAATAAATCGTTATTTTTGCCTGAAAATGGCAGGATTTACAGAAAGTGCTTTAGTGAAGAAGTTAGTGGACCTTAATGCATCGCAACAAAGCATACAAACTTTATCTCTTTGGTTAATCCATCACAGAAAGCATCACCCGGTTATAGTGAAAGTTTGGTTTAAAGAAATGTGTAAAGGTATGCTATTTTACATTTTATTATTATTATTAATGTTTTCTATTCATTTTTTAATGTAATTTTTCATTCTTTATTTTTCTATTTCAAGATTTATGGAATAAAAATTCTCGTTTTCCTAACCTAAATATGAAATCAATTTGAAGGTTATTTCCTTGTCTATTTTCTCAGAATGTGAACTCCCTAAGACAATTACATTTGTCTTTCATTATTTACATTTATTATGCTTCTAATCCAGTAATTTAATTAACTCAGTTACTTGTTTTGTGATATTTAACTAAGTTTTTCAATTCGTTTTTTTATCGATGGAATCTATGAAGCTCTTAAGAATTCATGTTCATATGGTTCTATATGTTAAAGAAATTTGAGAATTCATTAATCGAAAAATTACAATTGGAAATTTGATAGTATTCTTTTTAAATGTATGAACATTATTTTATTTTTATTTCAGTTAAGGATAGTCGTAAATTAATGTTCATGTACTTGGCAAACGATGTCATTCAAAATAGTAAGAAAAAGGGACCAGAATTTGGTAAAGAATTTGGATTAATGCTACCAAAAGCCTTTGAACACATGAAAGGATTTGACGATAAAACGAGAGATCGACTTAATAGGCTTCTTCAAATTTGGGAGGAGAGAGGTGTTTATGATAAAGGACAAATTCATGAATTTAAGACAGCTTTCAATTCTGCAATTGATAATAAAAAAGAACCGGGTACTCCTCCTTTAAAGAAGAAAAAATTGGATGTTGAAAAAACAAAGGTTTTTGATTTTTTCTTGTTATCACATAATTCTTATCTATATATTTATCAGAATTATTTATTAATTTACTGAAGCTCTTTAGAATGTAATTTTATTGATTTTTTTTTTTCTAGAAAGAGAAAAAGGAGAGAAAAAAATCGGAGACAGAAGTTGAAGTTGATGGCACCAAAGAATTACATGTTACTTTAAGTCCAAGAACACCGGGCGGAGATCCGCCAGAAACGGAAGAACTTATCAAGGCTTTAATGGTTTATATCAATTTTATAAATATTTCAAGCATTCACAATTTTGTAATGATTCAAATAAATTACTCTTATTTTGAAATCGAAACACTCGCACAGGTTGAAAATATAAATAGTGATAAATTTTTAGAAACCCTAGCATTTTTCTTTACTCTGCTGCAGTTAATCTATTTACAGTCAAATTTAAAAAATATATTATTTGCATTTTTAAATTTTGTTATTGAATACTTTTTTGGAATTTCATTCCAATATCAAATTCAATTTAGTTACTAATTATATATTTATTAAAGAATAAGTTTTTTTAATTTAATAATTGTCTGTTCTAATAACTAAATATGAAAAAAAATGTTTTTTTTTTCTTATTTGTAAAGAAAACAAAGAATGCAACAATTTTTTTTACAGGATCTGGAAAACACGGCGTCATCAGATGCGGGCGTTCGAGAAAGAATTGCTTCGTTACCTCCTGAGGTTTCTGAAGTTTCATTGTTAGCTAATTTGGCTGATAGGGCAGCTGCTGATGAACTAAGTGTTGCAGTAAATGAAGCAGCGGCACTTTTAGCGGATTATAACGGAAGGTTGCAGGCTGAAATGGAAGACAGAAGAAGGCTTCTTGCAATGCTTAAGGATTATACATTGGCTCAGAAACAATTACTTCAACAAGCGCAAACAACATTAGAAGTGAGTCTTCTTTTTATTATTTATAAAATAATTACAACGATTATAAATTAATAATATTTGTACGTTTTCAGGATTATAAAGAAAAATTAAAAAAAGTTTGTTCAGTAAGAGCGGAAGTAAAATCACATATTTCGAATCTTCCGGATTTAACACAACTTCCAGACGTTACCGGTGGTCTGGCTCCTCTTCCTTCAGCTGGCGATTTATTCTCAATGCACTAGGCGCAAAGGATTAAAATTTACATGCTACTACTATTGGTTTATTAAACCCCTCAAGGTAAATACAAAAAGCGAAAAAAAAAAGAATTATTTTTACCTTATATATACTTTAAAATTTAATATTGTCAATGTCAGAAAATCAAAATCTGATGAAAGCGTAGAGAAAATAATAGTAAACCCACAAATAGTTTTTGTTACACTTCTACACTGATTGACTGCAATTTCCTTATATGCGTATAGGAAAAAGTGTGTATGATTTGAAGTGTAAACATAATTTTTGGCCACCTTGAAAAAAAAAAATGATGTTTCCATTAAAGGAATGAAATTTCAGTAGTGCATGTAGTAGTGTTGTTACTGAAAAAAAAATATTTATTTTTGGGAAAAAAATCTTTGAATTTCGTTCAAAATTTGAAAATATTTGTTATATTTACTAATCTATACAAATATGTGAGTTTATCAATAAGAAAAATGGTCTTTTTTTTGAAGCCCCTTATGAAAGAGAGTTTTTATTTTGTCATTGAAGTTATTTTGTAGCAAGAATTTATTTTAACCATTGTATTAGAATAATAATAAAACAATGGTTTTTAATAATAAAGAAAAATATAATCGACTCTTGTTGGCAAATGTCGATTAAAAGACTTCCATAGTATTTTAAGCAGTAGGAAAAAAAAGTTTTACAATGATGTATTACTTTTTTTTTTTTTTTAACAAAATGCGTATTCTTATTCAAAATTCAGTATATTTGTGTATTAAGATTGACAGAAATTTTGAATGATCCGCTTATTAATTAGCAGAGGCATTTTATTGTCATGCTGTGTATATACTTTTATATTATTATTATTATATTTGAAAGGAAAAAAAAATTTTTTTTTTTTTAATCATGAACAATTTATATAATTATATTGGAATGGAATTTTGTTTTTTTTTTAAATATTAAACAAGCGATTTACCAAACATAAGAAATACAAAACAACATGAGGCCGATAATATGTAAAAGAACAAATGAATCATGTTATAATTTTTAAATTGTAAACATTTGGAGAAAGTGATATGAATAAATGTTTTGCAACGTTACAATTTTTCTTCTTTCTTTCATATAGGTTTCCTTTTGTTAATTATCTATGAAGAACGAAAAAACGTTTTTATGAAAACTATTTTATTGACATAAGAAATTAAGTTTTTCTAATCTGTACACTTATTTCTCAAATTTATTGACTAAGGACAGAATACGATTTTTTTGAAACGTATACTTAGTATTGAGACCCAATCTTTCTTCTTCTTTATCTTAGTTAAAGAACAAAATAAGTTTTAATTGAAATAAATGATTTTGAAATTAATTCGTATGAATTTTTAAACAAATTCTTTGTTTAAATGTCGAATTTTTTTCTCAAATTTTTGCTTACAATTAGTAAATAACGCAGCTGTCACAATATTTTGTTGAAACAATAAATATCAAAGAATAATTATATGAAATTTAACGAAGACAAAGATATTAATAATAATTATCTCAGCTTATTTTATAAATAATATTGTCTTGAAACATTGTTTCATTTTTTAATCACTTTTGTCACGAGGAAAATTACACATTATGCTCCTTATGTTTCATGAGGATGAGGAGGTCTCGTTGGTTTTAATATAAGTTTACCAGTATCATCACAACTCATATTAAAGTCACCCAGAACACTTCGTACTCTCTGGGTTATAATACTTGGTGCTATCACTCGTCTGTGTACACCCAACATAAATAGAATTACTGAAATTGCATAAAGGTTTATATTTATTTTTTAGGTTAAAAAATACATATATTTTCAATATATATTATACATATATCTTTCAATAGATAAATATATTCAACAAAGTTAAAAACAAATGACGAGCAATAATGAACAATAATAAAGTCTTGTGTTTTCTATTATTGATTGTCAATTGTTTGAAATTGTTATTGAGAGCAATTTTTTCTTACCTAATATAACGCTAGCTATTGCAAAGAAAGGATGATTATATAGACTTTGCGTAAACGAGACTGCTGATGTATTTGGATCACTCAACCAATGCCAAGCACCTACCGCAGTACACATAGAAATAAAACCCAGCAATACTGTAAAATTAAGACAATTGTGTTTAAAAGAAAATTCATTTGCAAATATAAACCAAACTTTATATACAAAAATGAATGACTTACTTCTCCATCGCAATGTGGCTGGTTGTAAACTGGATATAACTTCTGTTAATCTTCTTTCGAATGCTTTTAAATCTAGTAAAAAGAAAATTTATTATTTTATATCATTACCGTCAAAAGAAATTAAATTTTCCTTATAAAAAATAATACGAAAATTGAACATAACCTAAAAAAAAGTACCTCGTACATTTTCTATTAAATGTAATATAAATTGTTTTCTTAACATATTTTTATATTTACCTTCACACACTGTTTGATCCAAAGACATTTTTCATTTATTTTGTGTTCTACGTTTACAATTCACCTGAGAATTGTGAAAAATAATTGATCAAAACAATGATCTGTCAAAAAAAAAAGCAGAACACTTTTTAATCATATGCGCGTAAACCGGCTTATTCTGCGCATGTCATAAAGTGTCAGTGTTCATTGGTTAAATTAAAATTATTGTTTCGCGCTATATTTAGTATAAAAATTTCGAAAACTTGTGAGAGAAGATAACATTTTTTATTAGAATTAAAAGGAAAGATAATTTAATTATTTGGAAAGTTAATATTTAATTCACAGAGCATATAAACAAGCAACATTGTCTAAATATAACGTTTCATCAAGATTGGGAATATTTGCTAAAATAGTGAGGTTATGTTATAGCCATTTATCAACAATATTTCATAAAACTAAAAACAAGTAAGTAATTAATGATATTTTATATAAGTTTTTTTTTTTAATTTCAAATGTTTTTCAGAAATAATTGGGAACAAAATTTTGTAAATAAAAAATTGGAAATGTATATGTTTCATCGACCCTGCGATGACCGTCAAAATGAACTAAAAGGTCACTATCCCTTGGTTCATTCAGAAGTCAATATTATCGACCCTGATAGTCTTTTATGGGTTTAACAAGCAATTGTTTCTATGGTGACCCTCGATCGAAGAACTCTTTCGGCGCGCACAGGTAAATGAAACTATATAGACATAGTCGCCAGGTGTGCAGACTTTCTTAGTGAAGAGTGTGCAGTCTTAAATATTGACACGATCTACCATGAACTTAAACGTCCTTCCGTCGGTCAATTCTTCCTAAGTTTCCGGAAATCTAATTTTATAGAAACAACAACTTTCGCCTTCGTTAGCAAAAAAAAAAAAAAAAAACGTACGTACCTTAATCATTTATTAATTTGCAATAAAAATTTATTTTTATAGAAATGTAAAATTTTTATTTGCTCATTTATGCGCACTGTTAATTTTTTTTTCTTTTTGACAAATTAACTTACGTGTCTGAAGACCATATAATGATTGGAAGAACTTCTCTATTGGATCAAAAAAAATTACAATGGGCTAAAGAAAGAGGTGAGTTAATTAGTTTTTCATTTTTTTTTTTAAGATAAAAATTATTTTTATAATGTTTATTTTCAATTTAAATATAGAAGAATTGGGAAGACTTGGCGGAAATTGGGGTCCAGTTAAAGTTTCTGATTCGATTCGTTCAGCGATACGGTGAGTGTAGAAAATGGGAATAAAATAATTTTTATTTCATTAATTGTTTGAAAATAAGGAATAATAGTTTTCGAATTAATTATGTTTTAAAAGCACAAGAATATGCTTGACGGAATTAAATGGCAAACATCCGTATCCTCTTCGTGAAGGTGCACATTACGGAAGTACAATGAGTTTAAGAAGTTTAGCATCTGACAATTCTGGTATTTGTACATCAAGTGTTCAAAATTTGGATTTTTCCAGTGGTAGTCTTATTAATCTTCATGATAGAATTGAAAATCATAATACAGTGAGACGAAGAAGTCCCAGTTTACCTCCAATTCATACCAATAAGGAACAATATCAACATTTTATCCAGGTAAATAATATTTTTTACTCTTTTTATTTCAATTAAATTATTTAGTAATATAATTTATTATTAGTATATAAGAGAAGAAAAATATTTTTAGTATAAAAAAAATAAAAACTATATTAAAAGAACCTACTTTTTCACTATTATTCCAAATTCTTTAAACGGTATTCGAAATAATATTCTGGAAAATAAAAGATTTATAGGAATTTATTTTTATGACCGAAAATCGGAATATTAAATATGAACAAGTCATATTTCTTATATGTAGGGGAAAAAAGTAAATATAGTCGAGATCGATCCTTCTCAACCACAATGGTTCGTTGACCTACGTCTTTTAACTTGCGCGCCTCCGCCTTGAGCAATAGTTGATATAAATCGCAAGAATCCATTATAATTTTTTTTTATTAAAAATTAATTTCTGCATCGATTTGATCAATATTTCAATATTTACCATGATTATTTAATTTCAATTTATATATATATTATTTGACATGAACGGAAAAAAAGATTATTATTATAAAATATGAAAAGTAGTAAAATTTTGTTTAGATAATTTCTATCCATAAGGAAAGAGTATTTGATTTTTAGTACCTCATAAAATAAGCTAGTTTTACCATCAGCAACAAAGTGGTACGATTATCGTGATAAAGGGAGATTTGGTTTGGTATAATTTGACTTCATTTGAATACCAACTCTCGTGTGGCAGTTTTGAATATACATTATATACATATATAGTATTTGAATATGTTTCTTGGTCACGCAACTGTGTTCCATATTTTCTTGAAGGAACAAAAAGCCCTTGGTGTCGACGGACTTCGTTATCAGCCTAAACCACAGAAATACCAGCATCGTCACAACGATCCAAACGATTGCCACCCCTACGAGGAAAAAGAGGGCGAAACTTCCGGTTACGCCAGTGATTCCGTAGAGGCAACTGTCACTTCACTCCAAGGTGATTATCTTCCTTTTTTTGCAGGTGAAAAATTCCTTTTTTTTTTTTAATTTCTACATTTTTATAAAATAAATTTTATTTCCAGATCCATTGATGTCTTGTAAATCGTCAGACATTATTACCAATGAGAAAACTTGGCAGAATCCTTATTATACAACTGATGAGAGTTCATTACCACCATCGAGAAGAATTATTAGTATTAAAGCTGGTGAATTTAATCGTCAACGATGGGGAAGTATTTGGGGACAGGATCCATTAAAAGGAGATCCACCTCCACCTTCCTGGCTTGAAAGAGGTCTTTCTCGTTTGGATCATTCTAGTCAGGTGATTTTTATCAAAATTTAAAAATAATTTTACTTAACGATTATAAATATTTATTCAAAAATAATTGTTTTATTCCATTAAATATAATTTTCCAAACAGGTTTTAGTTATTAATCATGACAGTGCCAGTAGTCCTGATAGTTCAACAACAGGATCGACCGGTTCCAGTTCAAACAAGACTTACTTGCGAGGCCAAAATTTGCCAATCGATGCCAACGTACTTCAGGAACGTGAGACTCGGAGACAAAAGGCCGTTGAACTGCAAAATGCCATAAAGCAGCAATTGGAGGAAAGAGAGAGACAACGAAGGTCTGAAAAGGAACGAAAATTAAGAGAAGAACGAGAAGAAGAAGAAAGAATAAAAAAAGAAAGGGACAAAGAAAAAGAAAGGTTCTCTTCTGTTTTTACTAATTTTATTCAAATAAAAGTATATTTTTTTAATTTTGTTTTTTCTTTAATTGTTCTAGACTGGAGGAAGAGCAGAGACGGCAAAAGGACAAGGAAATTGCAAAGCAAAAAAAAGCGGAAGCCATGAGAGAAGTAATCGAAGCAGCAGAGCGCTTAGCAAAAGAAGAAAAGAAACTTCGAAGAAAGCGAAATGTTAACGAGAATAATAAACCAATTGCAAATTTATATGAATCCAATTTAAAAGATCATTTTACAGAATCAGATTTACAGACTAATGAATCGCAGACAGAAAAAGATGTAAAGCCAATAATGAATGAAGAAAATCATTTTACGAAAATTAAGGAAATTGAAAAGAAAGATACGTTCGACGAACCTAAGGATTTAAATAATTCAATTCGAATTCCTGTTAGCAAAGATGTGGCAATTGTTCTAAGTGGCAGACTCGATGATCCGGAACTTTTAAATAAAGCAAATCTTCAAGTTGTCAATTTTGTTATGACACCAACGCCAAGGAAAAATGATGTAAATCATATTCTAAGCGGATTAAATGCCATTGTTAATAATAATTGTAATTCTAATTATGTAACGTGTACAAAAACGAAAGCCTCACCTAGATTCGTGGAGAATCGACTTTTGACACCAAGTAAATATAGGACCCAAAATTCAAGAGACTGTGGTACACAAACTGACACTGAAAAAGAGATTCAGGATTTGCAAAATAGAATTCATGAAATAGATATAAATAATTTTTCAAAAGAAAGTAAAGACGCTGCTAACAATAATCAAAGAGATGTTGAAAAGTATGTTTAAATATTTAAAAAAATAAATTTAATAATTTGAAAAATTAATTTGCATATTTTTAAATATTAGATCGACTTCAACCAGCAATGCCGAGGAAATGACAGTGAAAACTTTACCAAGAGCTAAAAAAGAACCACGAACAAGTCTCGAATCACGACCAAGATGGAATGCCAATCGGTAAATTATTTATCTTTTAAAAAGCTTCATTATTTATCTAAATAGATTTTTTTAATGGAATTAAGAATCTTTAAAGTGAAAACAGATATTCTTAGTCCAGGTACAAGATATCGAACACAAAGTGAAAAAGATCCTCATTATCAACGTCGTATGAGGCTCAGAAGAAATCGTGTTGAAAGTAGCGATGAAGGTTCGAGGTAAAAATATTTTCAATAATTTATTTTTAAAAAATAGCATTTAAAATTCATTTTAATTTAATTCATAAAATATAAATAATTTAAAAAAAAATTCTTTTAAAGATCGCCGTCGCCAGATTTAAGAAAAAATAATTCAAAACAAAAGACGAGAAGTTTAACAAGACGTAAAACAAAGTTGGATAGTTACGACGCTGATTTGTCGATGGATAGTCTCAACTCTACTATACCACTGCGTTTTGATGAAAATGGGAGAATCAATATCGTGGAACATAGAAACGAGCATGGTAACATAAATAAGTATAGTCAATCTTCCAACTACCAGTCAAATATTTTAAAGGATAATGTAGATTCGCAAAATTGGTGCGGTCAAGAAATTCTTTCACATCTTTCATCATTGAGAAACGTATGAAAATTAATAATTTATATTTTATAATTCATTTTGAGGGAAATTAATTCTAAATTTTTATTTTTTAGGGACTCTTGATTATGCAGAAGCAATCCTGTCCAGTGTCACCAATTACCGAGCTTTATTGAAATTAGAAAAAAAAAAATTAATTTTGCACAGCTTTATTTCCGTTTAATTTAATTGCAATAAAATTTGTTTCTTTTGTTTGTTTTTATGTTTATCATTGTAGAATGGAATATTGACAAAAGATTCGGTAAAATCTAAATTCAACGTCAGTGGAAATACAAAAACTGAAGTTTTTCAGAATGTCTGAAAAAGTGGCAGATATAAATAAATAAAATGGCATTTCAACTAGATGACTTATTGAAAGACGATAAAAAAGATGCAAATTTAATACCAGATTTGAGTAAAGCTACTTGCAACTCTCAAGAAGAATTTCGCAGACTCATGGAACGATGTCCTGAATATAAAATCAAAGCGGAAAAGGTAAAAGAAAAAGAAATTGTAAAATTAAATTAAAAATTAAAATTCTGTAAAATTAAAGACTCTTTTTTCTGAAAGGTAAAGAAAGAAGATATTCGAGTGAGGGATAAAGATTTTTCCTGGCGAGCAACAAAACGAGAATTAAAATCAATTGGAAAGGAATGGGGCTATGGAGATCCAATACCTCCAGATATGAAATCATTGAATCTTCAAGAATTACAACAAGTAGCTATCGATTGGAGAATGTTGACTTCTGTTAGACCTAAACTTCGTCAAGATGAAGAGATGTTTTCTAGATTGGTATCATTTTTTTTCTTTTTATTTCGCCTCTTGAAAGAACGATGAAAATAAATTACTCTAATTTACAGGTTGAAATGGGAAAATTAGCAGCGAAAACATCAGCGAAAGAAAATCGTGCCCACATTACGCCAATTCGAAGAAATAAAAATAGAGCCGGCATTATTGAAAGTAGCGTGAAAATATGTGGTGAATGTGGTGAAGAATTTTGTGCTGGTGAATCGTGTGGTGATATTCTTTATGATTCCTTTATTAGAGTCACTGTAACACCACAACAATCGAAAATAACAGTTTCCGCCGATACAGCTGCAATAATTGCCGGAATGGATAAATCTGTCAAAAAAGGAAATAATAAAAAGAAGAAAGTAAATGGAAAAAATAATAATTCAAGAAAAAGTGTCAAATTATTAATACGCCGAAGAGTTAGAAAATCTGGGAGAAGTCCACGTGAAACGCACAATAAAACACGAAAAAATTTAAAACAAAACGATAATAATAATAAGGAAACTGATGAAAATGGAATAAAAAAATTCAAGAGAAAATGCAGCAAATATTCTAAAAAAGGAGGCCTATCACCAAAATAATTATACGATTTGAGTTAAAATTGTTATTATTATTTAAAATTTTTAATTAATTAATTATATATTGAATTATGTTATAATTATATATTGTTTGTTAATAGTTTCTTGTTTTCTATTTTATAATCTAGAAATTAGTTGAATAGTTTTATATACATTTCTATATTACGCTAGTATAATAATGTTTTGTACATTTTTATTTTTAATATATACTGTTTTATTAAACGTTTTACTGTTAAAAACAACATGTGCAATAACAATGTATAACAGTATTTATAAACATGTACAGTGATAAAATTGAAACATATTCTATGTTATAACTGAACAATAAAATAATTGCAAAGCTTTTATTAAAAATTACTAATATTGTTCTTTTTAAAAATTCTATTTTTAAGATTTATCTTTTCTATATACTTTGATTTAAAACGCAAAATAAAATATAAATTAATAACAATAAAAAAAGTGGTGGTAAATTAAAAAAAGGCAAATATAATTTTGTAGAACATATTTCTTATTAAGGAATTATTTTGTACATTCGACTAAATAATCGCATACAGGACACAAAAGAAAAAAATAGTTTTCATATTTATATATATATATATCAGGTTTCCTCTTACATATCTAGCTAAAATTATTGAATTCCTGGATGGACAACTAGGCGGATTTTTTCTAGAATTGCTACAACGACAATACATTTTGAGTTATTTCGTACACGTTGCGTCATACACAATTTTATATCGGACTTTCAAAAAACTTCTTTTCTCTCTTTTATAAATAAGAAAAGAAAATTGATAAACTAGATCAAACCATTAAAAACACAAATTCTATTTTTTTCATATATCAATCAACGATCTTCTAGATTGATCTCTCTTCAAAGAGACTGATTAGAAGAGCGGAAAATTCGCATTTCTGTGTATAAAGCAAAGTCTCTTACTCAGAAGAATATGTACAATTGTGTAATGTTATATATTCAAAATATGACAATCTTCTAACAAATGTACAACTTCATGTCTTTATACGAGCTATAACGCCGAGTAAAGATATATAATATAATTTGTATTATGATTATACACAGGTATTCATATATAATAAGTATATAATATACAATTACAATGAATAATTGTTAGTATGTCCACCTTTGTTTTATGTTTTACAAAAATACAAGTACTACGTTCATTTTAAATATATACGCCTGATAAATTCAGGTCAATTATTTGATGTTCAATAATATGTTGTCTTTTTCTTCTGGAAAAGTCATACACTCTTGCTTCTTTTTTTTTTTTTTAAGTACATTCCGAAGAAACATTCAATTCTTGTGTTTTTGTATTCATCCCTAGAGTATACACGAATTATTTATTACACACAAGTCTGTTCAATCTGAACTACTTTGAGTCTTTTCTTTCGTTTTTTTTTTTTGGTCATTTTCAATCCATTTAAAGTGAAGCAAAGTTCATTTACTTCAAGTATAACAACTTAATATGTAACATCATAAATCACACAGGAATTTCTACTTGGACGATAATAATTTTTTTTTTTTTTTTATTAGCTTTGAATTATATTACTTTATCAAAATTAAAATATGCACGTTAAAACACGTAGAAAATGTGAAAATTGCTTCAATGAGCGACAGTCTATTACACTTAACAGGATATCGACAAACAATTATATATTGCCGATTGATGGTTTTTAATTATACATTAATACTGTTATTTATTACAATTATTTAATGTAATTGAATTGAGATTTTGATTCAGAAAATGAAATTTCAATTATAGTTATATTAATTTAATTTGACTGATATGAAAATTGAATTTAGTGCACAATTAGAATAAAAATTTTTATTTTATAATCTCTGTCGATACCCCATTTCACACATTTGACTTAACGCAACCAATTTTGGCACATTGGCAAGAAACAATTGATCTCAAAATTAATTTACTATAAAATATTAACAATACGAAAATGTACAAATTTGTTTTACACCGGGACATATATTTTACCAAGATTTACACTTGCAAAAAAAATTATTTAATTCAAATATAATCGATTACGTGATTATTATCAAATAAATATTTATTTGAACTAAATAATTTTTTTTTTAGTGTAATTATTTTGACAATTCTTATATTATAATCTAAATCAATTTCGAAACATTTTTTTGATGTACGTCTCTTGAACAAAAAAAAAAAGGTTACATAACAAAAATTACAAATAAACAATGAAATTAAATATGAAACATGTCTTTTTTACGAATGAACGATGACTGAACAAATTATGAGACAATCACAAACGTATACATATTTATACAAAACGGATTATTCTTTTGAAAAAGTTAACACTTCTCATTATTCAGAATGATAAAAATTTTTGAGAATCGTGATGTACTTGTCTTTTACTATTATTACAAAATGCATTAAGTTTGACGTTGACAGACATTTTAAATTTAAATTGCATGTGCAGAATGATAAATTATCATTTACTGACAAAGTGTGATCACCAAATTTTCCACTGGAGACAAAAAATATTTTTGAACATGATTATCACAATTTTTTTTTCATAAATCGAGTTAGAATTGAAATGTACATTATAAAAAATAGAGTTGAAAATTTCAAAAATATTAATTTTCAATTTGTTTTTAACAAAAAGATCAAAAAATAACGTCTTTAAATATAGAGATCAAAGTATAAAGACGATTTGAAAAATATCATAATTCTCAAAAGTTCTTACTTTTTACGCAATTTTCTTTTCATTTTCACTTTTAAAAATAAACCACAGCACTTCTTATGCAACAGGGGACGCTAGATTTGCCAAAGAGAAACCTTTTTGACTATCCTGTTGTTCGACATACATATTCGATGAACATCAGAAATACACTATATTTATAAAGATGGACTTTTTTCACAATAAGTCCAACAGACATTCAAGTTTGATTGAAGATTGCAAAGATTTACACTCGATTGTTCAAAGTTTTCGACGTTCATTATATTTCATTATCGATTGCACATACATCAGAATATTTTTAAAGAAAAAACTATAGACATACTTTATGGAATTTTATATGACATAGAAAATCCTGACAAAAAAAAAAAAAATTATAACATTCCTTTTACTCATTACTTTTAAAAATCTCTCAAATCATGTTCCCTAGTTATATTATTCAGAAGTCAGGATTTTTCAGAGAGCAATACACAAGCTGCATATTTTTTTTTCCATTTTTTTTAAGCTTTGAGTAACAATTCTTGCACACATTTTTCCTCCATTTTAAAAGACTTAATGTGAACAGAAAAAAAGTTGAGCAAAAAAGCTTGTTTTGTTTTTAATTTATCCTTACAAAAAATAGAACTCGTGAAACGAACAAGTCTAAGAAAAATAATAATTTTTTTTTTTTTATTTAATCTAACTTCATTAAAATCATTCAGACATTTCTCAAATCACATTCATTTTCAATTCGTTAAATAGTTTAACTAAGAAAAATTTTTGTTCTCTTTAATTTAAACCGAAGATTGCCAAAATTGAAAAATCTTTAATATATAAATGATTATTGAATCAGGAATTTTTATCTACTAAATTATGAAAAAACAACTCTTAAAACTTTTTTTTGAACTTATATAAAAAGTAATGTGTATAACCATATAACACGCTATCATTAATTATTCTATATTGTAAACTTGTGACTTATCCCCCACGTATTTTAATATATAAGGCAGCATGAAGTTTATACAGCAATAATAAGTCAATGACAATAAAGAAAGAAATTTGACATTTTTTTTTTTCTTGCGATTGTGATGCAGTATAACTTATACTTTCTAATGGATCTGAGTCGATCCTTTTGGTACTATGTACAAGGGGAAAAAAAAAAAAATTTTGGTCAAGTGGATAACGAAAATGCTCTTTTATAAACTCTCACTTGATTTACTCATTGTGACAGTCTCTCCTGAGCCAAAGGGGTCTTCCTTTTTATACTTCCTATTTTCAAGCAACTTTGTGCTTTGTCCACTTGATTTTATTTAATTGTCTCTGCGAGCCTTCTTTTTGCTCTTCTTTTGGGGTTTTGCTTCCGTCCAAACATCTAAAAAAAAAAAACAGAACAATTTTAAAATGATCTTAAATTTTTAAATTATTGACAACAATTATGTTTTCAACATACCTCCCAATTCATCGAAAGCAGCAACAGGCTTTTCCACTACCTGCTCACTTTTTATGGGTTCTGGTACATCTTTAACGATGACCTCCTCCACCTTCTTCTCCACTACCTTTTCAATAATTTTTGGTTCTGTTTTTACAGTAGCAGTTACTTTTTCAGTTTCACTATTCTTTTTTGATTTCTTAGATTTAGTTTTCTTCTCCTCCTTCTCGGGCTTTTCAACCTTGAAAAAAATAATATAAAATTACTTCCAAATTATTAAATAAAAATGTTAAAATAATGTCAAATTCATACCTTATTGGAAATTTCTGTTTTCTTCTCCACTTTCTTTTCAGTCTCAAGATTGTCATTAATAATAGGTGTAAGAACAACGTCTTTGTTGTCCTTCTCCTTTAATTCTTTGTTCTCGGTCTCTTTGGCAACTTTATCTTTAATCTCTGGTTTCTCTTGATCTTTAACTTCTTTTGCAACATCATTAATCAATTCAGTTTTCTTTACATTCTTCTTTGATTTCTTTGATGGTGTATCTTCTTCCTTCTTCTTATTTTTTTTGTCTTTTCGTGAATAGGCTTGTTCCCAATCACCTAAAATAATTTTTTAAATATTTTATATATATTTACATTCAAAAGAGAGTGAAAAATATATTTTTCAAAATTAATTTTATTTTTTAAATAATTAAAATATATAATTTACCTTCGTCAAAATCAACTGGTTTCTCCTGTAGAAGATTCTTCAGATTTTTCTTATTTTTTACCTGCTCGACTTTATTTTCTTTTCCTGATTTAGCTTCATGATTTTTTTCCTTCTTGATTGCAACAGGTTTATCATCTTCTTGTTTCTTTTCTTTTAATTTACCATCAACTTCATCATTTTTTGATGATTTCTTTGTTGTTTCTGATTTTGTGATAACAGTTTTCTTGACAGGACTCGCTTTCTCAGTAACTAGCTGCCCATTAGCGGCTTTCTGCAATTAGTGAAAACAGATTAGATATGTAGCAACTTTAGACTCTGGACTTTAGAATTTTTATTTAACATATTTTCTGAATGAAACCTTTTATATTTTTTAATTATTTTTTTTTAATATTGAAATTTGTTATTTAAATTTTTTTTTTAATTAAAAGAAAAATAACAAGTTGAAGAAATTTGTAAAATGTGATTATTTACAAATTAATTTAAAATTCAGAATCACTAATTCTAATAAATTTTTGATGAAAACAAAATTTTTTGCATTCTTTTAGAAAACGGGGTATACGCCCTTCTATGAGATCACGTGACTCAAAGGATTTGCAATAATAACAGATATATAATACATATGTGTATGAAGTCTGGGTATAGATAAATCTGAGGACATAAGATTGCGAACAGAGAAATGAATTTTTAACACATGAAAGAGTATATGACAGTAAATTAATAATGCATTTGACAAGATCAATCTGCATTGTAGATTTTATGGTCTGTTTTTGTTACGTCATTTTCATTTAATTCGCGCGTCAAATATACATTATCCCAGCTGATCAGTGACACGTGTATGTGCGTGGCTGATTTGGGGTCGTTGCTACAAAGCAAAAATCAAAGTAATTAATATAAACCATATGGCAAGAGAAGACGCTTATACGGACGCGTAACGATTGATAAATTGTCAAAATGCATCATAATGTATGAAGATAGTGTATGTTACAATTACCTTTTCCTTGGTTTTACTTCGTTTTTTGTTAGCAAGCTTCCGGTCCACGTCCGAGCTAACGGAGAGATGAGCGAAAGGTGGCTGCTCGGCTTTTTTGAAGCCGAAGACGAAGACAAGGATGGCGCAAACCAAAACGCAAACAACTGGTATTCCATATTGCGAATGTTGCAGAAGTAGACTCACGTCCATATCGTGGATTAAATATAGTCTTTCAATTATGATAATCGAGTGAAAAAAAAAGAACGTAAAGATATTTGATCCGCGTATGCTTATACGTCCACACACGAAACCACCAGGAAGTTAATCACGGTTTGACACACTACAACAAGAATGCTGGAGAAATGTTAATGCAACACTGAAAACATAACCTCCTAGCGGATAAATGTTCAACTAAACAAGTGCGAGTTGGCACACACATACGATTCATTGGACCGTGAGTCATAACACCTTTTAATAATCTACTTTGAAATGCAAATAATTTAGTAAATGTATTTTAAAAGTCAAATTTCCTCTTTTTTTTACAATAAAATAAAAAAAAGACTAAATTTGAAGTTTACAAAATTTTATTTAAAACTTTCGTGATGATTCATGATTTTTCAAAATGGAAATTCAGATATTGTTTTGACTAAAACTCCGTTAAAATTTTTTATTTTTTCTCATTTCTTTTTTGATTTTGTTTTGAAAGAAAATGAATACATAATAATTATTATTTAAATAATAAATATTTTATTAATTCCACTGGAAATTAAACAATTTAATATTAACAATTTTTATACACTTTTTTTACATGTTTTTTTTTTAATTTAGACTAATTTTCAACTAACAATTGAAAATTAGCAATATTTAATATTTTACTAAATAACCTAATAATATCTAATTTTGTACAGTTTTTGAAAATTGAACAACCATTGGTTTATCTTTTAGAATATAGCCATTCGTTTCAGCAAGAGCAATTTCCGCCTGTTTAATATTTTGTAATGTAACGAATGCTTGACCTTTCATTCGTCCTCCTTGCATGAGTTGCACACTATATTGATTTTCAGCGGAAACTAAGTCTTCGATCACATACTTCTTATAAATAAAGTGCAAATCTTTAATCTCAACTTGCTTCGCTAGATTTTTTATATATAAACGGCATGACGGTTTTCCAGGATGATAATTCTTAAATGCAGTGAATTTATCATAATCTGAAAAAAAAAAATTATATTTTAGTCAAAAATTTGTAAATTAAATCACATTAAAAAAATAATATAAAAAAAGTTAACCTTTAATCGAGATACGATTAGTTGATAATTCTTCGGATGTAATAAATTCTTGCTCTTTCTTCTCTTCAACATTCTCACTTTCGTCGGGAATTTTTACATCAGTTTTATTAGCTGGAAAAATAAGACCAAAACCTCCCTCTTGGACATCATTAGAAACAAGAAAAGATGATGATGTTGATTCCAATAAAGGCATATTACTGTTTATTTTTAATTCCAATTTTTTCGGTTCATTTTTGTCTATTGATTCAAATAAATCTTGTGGCCTTAACAATGGCTTTTGAGTAGAGGTGGAAGGAACACTGAGTTGTTTATTAGGATTAACAAACTTTGGAATTTTCATTTTTCTAGAAGAAGATGGCCTCTTTCTTTTCATTGGAATAATATTTTGAATTTTTCCACTTGGTTCCTCTTCGGATTCAATTTCCGATTCTGATTCTTCTTCTTCTTCTATATCATGTTGTTCAAAATTTTGAAAAGATTCCTTTTGTGTTAATTCTTCAATTCCGAAAATATTTTTATACTGATCCACATTGTATAATTCTTTTAGTAATGGAAAATTCGATTCCAATTCTTCAAATGGTGGAGGTAAATTCATTCTGTTCATTAAATGCAATACCTAAAAAAAAAGGAATAAAAATTGTTATTCAATTAAAAGTAAAATTATTGTTAACAATTTAATAAAATATTTACCTGTGTATAAAACATGGGTTCCTTTATTAATTGAATTGAAATTCGTAATAAAGTTTCCTTTGAAGGTGCAGGATATTTATATGTAATATTAGGATTAGGTGGTTGTGTAAAGGCATTACTTCCAGTCCAATTGTTTAATTTTTTAAGGAAATTTTGAAGATGTATTTTTTCAGAAGATTCTTTTTTTAACTCTTCCTCGTCAACTTTTTTACTACTATCAGTCTTTGTATAATCGGTAGATATTGATTTTTTAGCAAATTCAATAGATATTCGATGACCTTTTATTTCTAATTGATGAAGGCGTAGAAATGCTTCTGTAGCAATTTCTTCAGACGAAAATTCCGCAAAAGTCATTGTAAACTTAGGCGATTTTCTTATTGTTTTTGTTTTTATTGCATTAAATTTTTTAAATAGTTCATCACGTCGCTCGTCAGAAAGCGATGGTGGTAAATGCAAAATGCGAAGAGTTTTTGAAGACTGCAAATTGTATAAAAAAAATAATTAAAATAATATTACAATAACATAGTATAATAAAATTAATAAAAATTGTTTAAATAATATATAATTTCAGTAGAAGTAAATGTTAATGTTTACTTAATATTAAGATAAAAATAAATATTATTATGTGTAAATTTCATAATTTTGACAATTTCTCATAAAAGTAAACAAGTTCTTTATAGGTTAGGTTTCAGTAAAATAAATTTTAAATTGTAACCTGACAATAATTATTTTCATTTGATTCTAGAAAATATGTCAAACTTACCACTTCCGACATTATTGACTTTCAATAATGATATTCACAATAAACAACATAAATAATTAATTATTAAAACATATCTCTGACAGTAGTGTATAATTTGGACTGAACGGTTGCCAACTGTTGCATAATGTAAAGAATTTCTGATTGGTCACTTTTAATATTTGTCCAATTATATCAGATATTTGGATTGGTTACTTAAATTAATATTTGAATTTCCCGCTAATAACGTCATTCGTATAATACGTAACTATCTTGTGTTTGTCACGGTAACGTAATTCACAATTTGTCAATAGCTTCCCATTCCTGTTGTTTAACTTTATTTTTTAAGTCTATAATTTTGTAAAATCTTAATTACTCGAAAAAATTGAGGATAATAATTAATTTAACCGAGTTTTGGATAATTTTACGGAAATTGCAACATTTTGCGCATGTCAAAAACATCAAATAAGTGTAGATGACGCTGCAATCGTTAATTTTTACCAGATATCTGATGTCAGCAGTAGTCACTTTGCTTTTGAAGAATTTATGGTTTTTCCGATAATTTTATTAAAAAGTACATTGAAAGATAAAGATATAGTCTTTAGTGATAGTTATGTCGTGAAGATAAATTGTGTCTAATAAGAAGAAACAGTGTTCGATAGTGATAACATATTGTCTGGTGTGTGAAAATTTTGCTGATTTAAAACTCAAGGGTTATGAGGCTTAAAAGTCTAGCTTTTAAAAGACTTATATATTTTTTCAATATTTATAAACTTATTCTAAATATTCATAATGGCTAGTAAATGCAAAGTAAGTCTATGATAAATATTTTCTATATTCAAAATCTTTTAAAACATTGTCTTTGTTGATATGAAAATCATTCAATGTCATAAATGTTAGTCTATATAAAAATTGCTTTAAAAAGATTTATTAAAATATATCTAAATAATTCTTTGTATTGCATAAACAAAAAAAAATTAACAAAATATTTAATAAGAAATATTTGATTCTCATTTGTAATAGATTTATGTCCATTGAGAGATATAAGTATATGCTTTTTAGTTCCACAATATGTTAGAGATTTTAACATTTGATAAGAAAAATTTATTGCTTATTTTACATATAGTAAAAAGGAAAATTACTGATAGTTGTGTATTTTTTCTGTAAATATGTCTTTAATTTTTTAGGGATTTCAAGTAATATCAAAGTAATAAAGATTAGATTTTTTTTTTATCAAATTTTTGCGAGCAATTTTTTTCTTTTTAGACAAACTTTATCTAGTCTCTTTTTCTTAATTGGTTATCTGAAATTTTTTTGTTGGAATTTTTTCTTTTTGATAAAAAGCCTCGATGATTGCAAAATTGTTCACTTAAATAGTGAAATAAAAACATTTAGTAAGACTAATCTTTTATGACGATTGATTTATTTATAATTTCTTAACAAAAATTGTCATTGAATGAATTCTTCTGTAAATAAGGAAAAGGAAAAATTCTTTAAAAATATTACGATAATTCACACCTTCTATATTTCCTCAATGTGTATAAATATTTCTTCAATATAGAACGTGATCAAATTACAAAAAGTTGTGTAAGGCAATAAATTAAAAATAAATTTTTATTTTACAGGAATGTGGTTGTATTTGTTCGCGATGTATTAAAAACGAAAGAAGACTCAGTGATATGCATTTGCATGCGGAAATTGAAAATCTCCGGCAACGTTTAATGGAACGTGATAGTCATATTGTAACAATGGAAACGCAATTTTTAAATGAAGCTGATAAATTTCCAAATGGTGAATTAGCTTCATTGAAAGATGAAATGCTTATTTGGCAGGACAAGTATGCAAGACTTTATGAGGCTCATAAAAGAGTGCAAAAAGTAAATCAGAATCTAGAGGATAAGCTTTTGAGAATCGTTGATAAATGTGAGACTGAGAAAGGTGCCTTTACAAAGGACATAGCAACTCTATCCCATAGATTAGCAGATGCCAATTATACTGTTCATCGTTTAACGCAGGATAATGTAACATTTTTTTTTTTATTATAATTTAATTAATATTCTCTTAGTTTTCTTATTGTATTTTAATTAAATTTTTATTTTACAGGAAAAATATAGGAATGATGTTAATTTAGCTATTCAATTGCTACAGTGTAAACCTTCGAATTTCATAAGTCAAAAATACGAATCGGTGGGTTTAATATTTTTTTTTTTATTTCATTAAGTTTAAGCAAATTAACAAAGAAATTAAATTGAATTTTCCTTTTTAGTTACCATCCGAAATGCAAGCCAAAGTGAGAACCTATATTGCCCAAAAGGGACCGATTTCGGAACCGAAGCAAAGTGAAGTTAAAAGTATAACCGTACCAATATCAACATTTCCACCAACTGCAATGGTTTATAATGTAACGCGAGCGAGCATTTCAAAAAGTGACAGTTCAAGCTCAGACGATGATCCAAAACCGCCTGTTGATGTTGTCTCTGCGGCAATTATGGCAAAAGTCCTTGAGGATCGTGAAAAAGAACGAATTTTTGCCAGACATTGTGATACCTGTACATGTCATAGAAGCGTATTAAAAGTAAATACCGAGATGCAAACTGTAAATGTTTACAATACATGCAACGAATGTCAAACCAGAGAGGATTCTTCTCGAGCTAATGATGAAAAAATGGATTATTTAAAAAATGATCGTACCACCAAGTTGCATTATAATCAAATTCAAAAATCCTATTCACAATCATTTTTGCCCGTAGTAAATGATTGTACGAAAACATTTAGTAAAATAAGAACACAAAATAGTGAGAACAATTCAAAACACACGATTTATCATTATGTAAATGAAGTTGCTGAGAGTAAAAATAATCAAAAATCTGAAAATTCCAAATTAACAAATCGTTCATCAATATTGGGTGCGAAAAATTATTCAAATTTCAAAAATACAATGAAACATCAAAATTCATTGAATACACAAAATATAACTGCCGAGACAAAACTTTTGGCACCAGAAAATTCTGACGATAAACTAGAGGAGAAAATTGATCATATAAAAACATCTAAAAAATTTAATCAATGGACTGACATTGAGAATGATTCATTGGAAGGACGAGCTGCTCAAGTTGAGATAATTAATGATAGACTTTGGAAAAGCAATTGGAATAAGTCAGAATTTCATGATTTTAATCATTCCAATGATGATTATCGAACTCGAATTGGAAAAGATACACATATTGATGTGATTAATGATAGAGTTTGGAAACATAATAAATCCAAAACGAAGGAAAAGAAACCAACACAATTGACACTCATTAAAGTAGGAAGTGTTGATGAATTGACAAATAATAGTGAAATCAGGCCAGAAAGTACAGTGAGTCCAAGTTTCAGCAGTGATAGTATTATTTTTTCAACTTCAGATCCATCAAGTATTTCCAGTGATGTGCAATCGACAAACAAAGGTCTTTCCAAGCAGGAGAAAAAGAATTGTAATATTGATCTTCAAACAAATAAACCGGAACGAACTCCAGGACCAAGAAGTTGTGTAATGAGACTATCAGGTAAATCGAATAATATTCTTTTAGATAATGTGGGAAATTATCAACCAATTCTCACGGCAAATTCAGTTACGTTTCCAAATACTGCTTTGGTACATACGACAAGTTCATGTCGTTCAGGAAGAACCGTATCAACAAGTAGCGAAGAGAATTCATCAATTTTATCTCCTGATAATGTTCATCTACAAAGAGTCGCCGATTGGGTAAAATCATCAGTGCAACTTGACAAATCAACATCATCATTATCAAATCAATCGGATAAATTGTCAATTGATACAAAACATTTTAATCAATTTTCAAGAGATGAATCATTGGAGATTAAAGAGGAAAATGTTGTTGAAGAATCATTTGAACGTGTCGAGAAGAAGAATAAGAAGAAGGAGGAGGATCTCATCATTTTTGATCCAAGCAGCGATGAGGAAAAGGATATAAGTGATTTAAAAGTGAGTTCTGTTATAGACGATAAATTTAATGTTAAAAATGTTACGAAGGAAAATTTTCCAATCGATGATGATTATCAACTTGATGATCAAGTCTCAATGAGAAATTCAACAGTTGATAATCATTACGATGAGGTGAAAGTGACAAAAGAAATGGAGGAGACATATTTAAAATTGACTGCAAGTCTTGATCCTGTTGCATTAAGATTGGCGAGTATGACTGGTACAGATTTGACGATTGAAAAATACAGGAAAGATCATAAACGTCTTCAAAATCAGAAAATTCCTTCTAAATCAGGTTCATCAACGTAATATTTGAATTTTGGTGGGAGATTAATTTTCGTTAATTTCTTTAAATTTGTCAATTAATTTTCTTTATATAAAGTATTTAAATAATTTATTTACTAAAGTGAGTAAAAAAATTTAATAATAATATAATGTTTGGGCATAATAATAATTATAAATTATATTATTATTATTATTAACGTATTTTACACTCACTCTAGTTCTGCATTTTCTAAAGTTGCAGATGATAAATGAGATTGTGATACATAATTTATTTTTTTATGCATATTATTTGATTCTTGAAATAAGTTACGAAAACTTTATTTTTTAGTAACTTATTTTCTAATTGCAATTCAATTTAAATGAAATTCATACACATTTTATTTTTCATTTATTAGTTGTAAATAACATTGAAATTTTTTTTTTTAAATATTTTTACAATTTTTGAAATTAATTTTTAATAGAAATTGTTGTGGGTGGAATTTCTAAATTCTTTAAAATTGTTTTGTTCATAAACATATTTTTAATTTTCTCTACATAACTAACAGAAAAAAATATTATAAATGTTAGAAAAAATAATATCTTAAACTTGTCTTTATTCTAAGACTTGATTAATTTTAATATTAATTCAGTTTTTTTTTTATGAAAACAAAGAACTTTAAAAACTGAGCACATATTAAAAACAGTATTAAATTAATTTGCTCACAATAAAAATCGTGACAATATACTTTTTTTCAATTTAACACTTTTGCAAAGCAATTTCAATTTTTTTAACAATAATTTCTTAGAAACTCTTTTTAAAATCATAATGGTATGAATATAATAATTAATTATAATTAATAATTTTACTAAAATTAATTAATCATAATTAAAAGAGATTTTTTTTCCTTTTGAATTAATCATTAATGGTAACAATTATACTAAATATAATTAGATAAAAAATAAATTGTTTTTATATTTGGGCGATTTTTTGAAGTTATAAAATGAATAATTTATTATTCATTAAACATTGAATTTGAATTTCCCGCTATTATTTAGTTATAAATTATTATTTTAGGGTTGGCACTTCTTATCTATTTGATATACAGCTAACTTCAAGAAATCGCTACAAAAGTTTGAGTTGTGCTTAACCGTTTTTCTTAGTTAAGTTTTTAATTGTTTTAAATTGAAGCGTTAATTGCAATTATTTAGCTATTAATATTAAATTGGAATTAAATTTTAATCAGTAACTTCCAAGAAGTGATAAATATTAATTTATTCGTTTTGTGTCTCGTTATCCTAAATACACGATGCCAAATAAAACTAACAATGAAATATTCAATAACAACAGGTATTATTTTATTATAATAATTAATTGATTACATTTTAATGTCATAATTATAGTATAACTCTTTTTATGAACCGGATGTTCCTCAGGAAATTGCCTAACTTGCTTAGAGCAGACAATATTTACATTTATTTTGATAAAAATGAACTGTTTCTTCCTACCTATAGAAAAAAATAAAAATGTTTTTAAAATACTGTAAAAAAAATAGTTTAAGTTACAAATTACATCAATATTTTCCTTCGTAAATGTTAAATAATAGATTCTGCAAACTGCGTGACTATAAGAAATTAATATTTTTCAGTTTAAATAGAAATAATTTTAAAAACAAGCCAGTATACTGATGGAGATGAATTTTAATATTAGAGGTTAAATTAAAAAAAAAATCACATATATGCTTTTTAACAATATTTTAGGTTAATTTGTGACAGTCTGTATTTAAAATAAGTATAGGACTCAAGTATTTTCAATGATTACCTTTCGTTTTACTTGTTATTTATTACTATTTATTTTTAGTTTTATTTATTATTTTAAATTAAAAATTATCAGACTGTTACAAGTGAACTATCAAAATATTTATTATAATTGAAAATTAATTATTAAAAATATTTATTTTCGAAATTAAAATTAAAAAATTCATCTCTAAATATCGATAATTATATTATGTCGACAGATAACTTGCTATATATTGAAACATCAAATATATTAATATCTTCGCCGTTGTAATATAATATACATATATGACAAATAATTGATTTTAGAAAGAAAAAGTAGAATAATTAAAAAAGCGAGTTTTAAATTATTATTATATATATATATAAAAAAAAAAGTGAATGTATTGTTGTAATATATACATATAAAGTAGAGCAGAAATTATTGTTTACATAATCGACGTGTATATATATTGAAATGTGTACAATATACGCATTTAAATTAGGTATACGCCTAATTTGAATTTTTTTCATTTAAATTTGAATTTTAAATTTAATATTTATTATCCGTTAAAAAATCCCGTTTAATTAATATATTAATCATTTTTTGTTTTTGTTTTATTTTTTGTTTTAGAAAAAATCACATTGCAGTGAGAATTCACTGTGAATTTTTCAGTGGCGATGTTATAAATCATTTAATTAGATGATGATGATGATGATGTGGGAGATAGCTTTTAAACAGGTATCATTTATTTATCTTTTTTTTTTATCTAATTTTTTTTCTATATTTTAAATTTTTATAGAAATTTAAATTTTCAGAAAATTTAAAATTTTTATTCATATATGAATAATATTATAACAATTTCATATTTATATTTTTTTATAATTTTATCACATGAGTGAAATTTTTTGTTCAATACCTTTGATTTTTGGTTTTGTTTTTTAAACTATTTTACAGGGGAATTCAATTTTTCATTGAAAATTTTGAAGAGATCAGGTACATACACGTTGGTAATGACTGAAAGCTGTTGGTTATTTATTAATGTAAGTATTTAGTCAAATGGAGTATTAAATTTTGCATTTAATGAATTAGGTATATTCTGTAATATATGCACGTCCAATGCAGCATGGAGAGTTGAAACTTGAATAACAGATTGGTTCGTTATAGGGTCTGCTTATACATATATACATATATAGGTATATATATATACACATGGAACAAGCCCTGCCCATTTCTGTTCAATCAGGCTAATGTTCCCATAATTCGGTGCTAGTAGCTTTCGATGACTTAATGAATGAATAAATGGCCTCGTCTTCTTCGATGGTTCATCGATAGAGTATCAGCTATCGGTTTCATGTCCCGATTCAAAAGCTTTTTCGAACCAACCAGATTGAAATTGTGAGTAAATTTTTCTTTTTTTTTTTTGAATTATTTTTATCTTTTTAATTTAATTTACGAAATAATTTTATTTCGTAATATTTATGCGATTTGTTTTTTTTAAATTATTATACGGAAAAAATTATTTGAAAGAAAGAAAATATTTTTATAACTGGAATAGTTATTTAACTAATGCAGTAAATTATAATAACTATTACAGATAATTTAGCTATTCTTTTTTTATTATTTTTTTGCTCGATTATGATATAAAATCTAAATGTACAAAAGAGGTCTAAATATATTTTAATTAAATTCACGACTACCTTCGTGAATTATGTAATTTCGCATAACAATACGTCGAAAAAAAAAAGATTAGTTATATATGGTCATAATAATAATCGGAAGTTGCCTAAATTTTCCTTACGCTGAAAGTGTTTAAAAGCTTCTTAAATCGCGAAACAAAGATAAATGTGTCGAAACGAAAGGAAGTTAAATAAGATTTGTTAATGCAGAGGGTTGGTAATATAGTTTACTTTGGGGGTGTGTGATGTTGAATCAAGATACGCACGTTCATTTCCTTGACCTAGATCCAATTTCGAGGTCAGCCACGGTCACTTGGCGCGAGAAATCCTATATTTAATTCTCTTTGTCTAATAATGAAAGTGTAAAAAAAAGTTTTCCCTCATTTTCTGATTTTATTTTTATATTTCAATAGAAAATTAACAATCAAAATTAAAATCAATTATAAACGCAGAGAAACTTCTATAAAAATAAAAAATGTATCATTTTTTTTTCTATTATAAATTATCCTTATATAATATAAATAGAAATAAAAAATTTCTCCAAAGGTAAATGTCAAGGAAATTTGAATTTTATCTCAATAATATATTAATTTTGATATTGAAAAAATATCGAGTAAACTTTTAAGAAAATGTATGTCACTTTGAAATTATCATAGAAAATAGCTGACAAATGTTAGCTTTCAAAAGTATCCACATCCGTTACAATTCTTTGATATTTCATAATTTTCTTTCCACTTTCATGCATCCTGGACGATTCTCACTATATCTCAACAAAAACTAGAAATCAGATTTAAAATTGATTTAATACATATCTCATTAAAATTCTTTATTCAAGTTGCTTTATTTCGTGCAAGAGAAAAATAAATTATGTCCTTATAAATTTCAGGAAATTAAGATTCAGACTAATAAAAATTTTTTTTTTTAAATTCTAACTGAATTGAAATTTTGAAAATTCTTTTAAAATTCGATTCTGTTTTTTTAACTATGATTTTGTTTCAATATTTCAATGAATGATTCTTTCGATTAATGAATGAGTCATTGAAATAATTGTTTTAAATATTATTATTTTCAATTAAAAAAAAATTATAATAATTTACATAGAAATTAATTTTTTTTTTGTTTTTTTTTTTTTTAATTAATAAAGATAATATAAAAAAAAAATAAAGTTAAATTGGCGCGAGCGCGATGACCATTTTCTTAGAGTGAAAAGTGGAGGCGTCCACTCAAGAGTCAGTAAGAACGTGTTCGCGCTCACGCGAAGACGTGATTGTTAGTTATTCGATCCGAAAAACGTGTTTTTACTTTTAGTAATTGTTAAATGTACTTCAAAACTTCGAATCATTACTTTAACTTTTTTCTGAAACTTATAGGTAATAAGTGAGGCAAATATTCATTTTTTCATAAAAAAGAAAAATACTTTCTTTTTTTTAAAAAAATATGTGTACAGGAATCTGAAATTTTCTCAAAGAACATCTTTTTATTTCAAACATTACAACCTGTAGCGAAATCGATTAATCAAAATTATAGTGTCTTGATGCTTAAGATTATAAACTGTAACTATTAAAGATAGAAAAAAAAATTTATGTTTATAAATTTTAAATCAAAAAAATATAAATAATTTTTATAGTTTTTTTTTTAAATGTTACAGTTAAAAATAATTATTTTAAGTTATTAATTAATTGAATTATATTACATGTCTTTAAAACATTATCAATATGTAAAAGTTTCATTAGATTTTTAGTCTCGTTTAATTTTTATATGATTTATTTTTTCATAAGCACGTGTTGCCAGCGTTCTATTCATATATAAGGGAGAATAATTATCTTTTAATGAGATCGAGTGCATTTTGATGAAAATTGAGTCATTTTTGAATTCTTTTGTAAATTTTTTTTTTTTATTAATTTATTTTTACTAATTTTGAGATTTTAAAAATATTTATATTTATTTTGGAAATATTTTAACGATTTCCCTTTTTTTCTTTCCAAAATACAATAATAATTTATTAATATACATAGTAATGAAAAAATTATTTTTTAGGAAATTTCGAATTCAAATAATGGATAAATTAATTTTTTTTTAAATTTTTGACGGCCTTTTTTTATTTACTTGAAAATACCATAAAAAAAGGAAATACTGTATTTTTATATAAAACTTTCAACACTATGCTTCGCGAGGATATAATTAGGAAAGAGATCGTTAGTTTCGCTAACAATATCCACTTATTGTGCAAAAAACGTAAAACACTTTTTCACCTCTATTGATCACTCATATATCCCCAAGACACGTAAGGGTAAAATAGAAAAAAAATAATAATATTTTTTTTATAATTTTTAAAAATTTTGATTTCTTTTATGATGAAAAAAAAAATTACATCACTGTTCAGAAAGCGTATAGTTTAGTGAACCAATGATTTTTGTTCCGGGGACTTAAAAGACGTAACAGAATTTAATGTTCAAAAAAATATAACACCTCTTCCGCAAAAAATTATTCATCGCGATAATTAGAAAGAGTTATTTGACTCTTCTTTACTAATTAATATATACCATTACACATGTAGCATTAGGTAAGTATTTAATTGACTTTATTACACTCTATTAATTGAGTTAGATATAAAATTAGAAATTTTCTTTTTTTTTAATCTCATGGGCCTTAATTAATTAAAAATAGCAACAATTACTCTATGCTCTTCAATTTGACGACCATAAAGTTTAATTATGATATTATCATCAGGAAATTACTCTATATTTCAAATTAAAAATAATTAGATTTCTCTATTTTCTCATATTTACATGACATTTAATGATAAAAAAAAAAATTGTTTTTCTTCTTCTCACAGAAAAACAATTTTTATTCACAGACAAAAAAATAAATTGAATCTCAATTTCTATAGAACTTTGTTTTTTATAGAATGAAAAAATAATTTTTTTAATTCTCCAAAAAGTGGAATTTTTTCGCATTGAATTTTTTTTTGTAGAAAGAAAACATTGAATCGCATTTTTATGAAAAGAAGGAATTGCATTTATTTTTTTTATTATAGATGTAACTCTTCAGAATTGGATATTTTATAATGTTTTCTCATGTTGTTATCTGATTTTCTTTTTATGACCCTGACAAGGAATCAAAAGTAATATTCTTGTCGAAATGGAAATTTCTGTAATTTTCTTCTGGAATGAAAGTACCTTATAATTTGAATTTATAGTATAGTTTGATATTCAAATACACCAAGAAGTCAAGGTTTAACGCACATTTTTTTTTTTATTATTATTACAATAAAAATGAGATTCTTTTTTTTTTCATTGAATCTAAATTCTATACATTTTACTAGAAAAATGAATAAAAATTTGCCATTGTTAATAAAATATTCCTTTATTTCGTTCTATATTAAAAAAAAAGATCTTGCGATTAAATTTCAATTGTGTACTAATAGCTTGGATTATTTTTTTTTTTTTTTTTGTAAATTTGTAATTTTCTTCTCAGTATATTACTCTATTATTATTTTATATTAATTTTGATCTTATTGATAGAAATTTTCTTTGTAATTAACCAAAGGATTTGTAATTATGAAATTAGGATCAATGATAATTGACAATGTCCGTGAATTTGGAGGTCTAGTGACAATTTATTATGCTTACTTATGTCATACAAGTTGTCAAATAATTCGTGATAAACAATAGCTATAAATTTCTGTTGATATTGTCCACAAGAACATTGAATCACCTTTTTGGTACGAGGCCATTTTCAAAGTTCTATATCAATCAACAAAACACGTGATACAAGACATTTAATGTCTTATTTGCATTAAACATTTATACAAAAATAGACATTGACATTTTGAATTTGGCAAAAATTAATTTTCCCCTTTTTCAATTTTGAAATTCAAATTTTGAAATTCAAATTTTGAAAGTTTCCTTCCAAGTCTGATTCACTTTAGTTTATTAAAGAGGCGTTTATTTTATAAATACTTATTAGATATAATAGTCAACTAATTAAAGTTTACACTGAAATGAACTGTTATATTAAAAGGTTTATACAAAAAGAAATATAAAAGTGATAATAGCCGGATTTCTTGTCATCTATATTTTTGCCGGGTAAACACCTGATGATAGTCAGAACACTAATCGTACGCAGTTTCATGTGAAATTATATGGTTGGGAAGGTGAATTTCCTTCACGCTCTCCTCACCTAATTACGTACGATTCAGCAACATGACCGATATGATGAGCAGAAATTACTTCCGTATTATATGACAATTTACGGTATATAAAAGCATTTTATGTACCTAACACCTCAATCATTATTGTGTACGGTACATTTTACATTAACCAGATGACTATTACACTTAATAAAAGTCCATTTAAAACATGTAACTGTTTCCTTCTTATCGTTTAATTACAAATTTTATCGCCTCTGTGTGTTTAAATAAACTATTTTTTATTTATATATCTATAAATAAAAATTAGTTTACAGAAAAAAATTCTAATAAATTAATTTTAGTATTTAATTTTTTAAAAATGACTAAACATTCTGAAAATATTTTTAATGAATTAAATGGAATGGGGAATAATGAAAAAACAAAAATTCATATTTTTTGCAGAATTACGAGAAATGAAATTGTACGGAACACCATAGGAATAGAAAATCAAGAGACATTGAAATGTAGTCCACAATGCATCGCAACATCCTAGATGATGTGAGTTCGATGCTCTCGTGTATGAGAGCGTGAATAACATGCGTTGTTCTCATGGGAAGGATAGCGGTGAGCAACGGGAGTGAGTAATTATTTCAGTGACAATTATCAGAAAAATTCAGTCGTCAATTGCGAAAATGTGCATTAAAATTTAATATTCATCTTTGACAAAATTAAATATTATTTCTCAAAATTCTTTTTTTTATATATATAAATTATCAAATTTTATTTTAATTAAATGATGATTTAATTAATCATGATTTTACTAATCAGATTAATAATAGAATTAAAAATATCAAATTGCATTTAATAATTAAAATAATGAATTTTGAAATAAAATAAAAAATTTGTAAAAAGATTGAATTGGAGTGTAATTATCGTTTTAAAAGGGCTTCGAGAAAGTATGAGAGCAACGTGAAAGAAAAGAGGGTTTTACTATGAGGAGATTAGATCCGGATAATCATGGACCTCGAACTGGTCAGCCACCCTTTCGAGTTTTATCTGGAGGAGGACACTGCCTTTTATCACCATCACCTCCATCGCCACCGCCGCCACGTGCACCCGAGCCCTACAAAATTGTTCCACCATGCTCCTCTTACACACGAGCTCATCGACGATCGAGTTTCGTGATAATTGCAGAGACTCGACCAATTACTCCGGATTCCAGAAGTCCTTCTCCTCCATGTTTAGCGACAGGAAGAGTCTCTCCTTTCCGAGGTCGAGGATTCAAAGGACCTTTACCACATGCCCAATCCAGACCTGAAAGTCCTAATCATTTTGAACGCCACAGAAGCAGCAGATTCGACAGAAGAGGTAAAAAAAAAATAAAAATTACATTTCAATTTCTCCTTATCTGAAATAATTTCCAAAAAAAAATTCAGTTTCAGTTTCCCAACAATGCAGTCCAAAACGAAGTCAAATTCCCCAACCAACTCGAAGTCGTTCCATTTCATTGACAAAGCGAAACGAAAAAAAACAATCACCAAAATTTGGACGACGAGCAATTTCAAAAGATAACGTAACTATAACACATAATGTTAATGGCAATCGTCGACAATCGTTAAAACGACCTGGACTTTCACCAATTCAAGGAACGCCAACAAAACCAAGGGAAAAATCACCTGAAAAACAAATTATTCCCAAAACACGTTCACAAGCGATTCAAAATCATCAACGAACATCGTCACAAAAAGCACGAAGAAATTCTTTGCTACCGCCAAAAATTATCACCAAATCAAATAATAAATCTTCAGATAAACAAAAATCTTCCAGTACTGAGATTCTTTCATCGCCATCGAAGATTCCACTGCGGCGTGAATCGATATCAAATAAATCGGCCTCCACACAATCATTGTCCTCCAATAAACCATCAGCTCCACCACCATCACTTTCCGTCAAGCCAACAAAATCTCTCGAGAAAATAATCGATAAGGCCAAGAAAATTCAACAAAAACCAATTGTTAAAAAAACCGAAGTAAATGTGATGAAAAATTTGAGTTTACAAGTACCAAAAAATAAGAAGAATATTGTTGAAAAAGCAATTAAAAAATTGGAAAAAAAATCATCTGTTGTTCAAGAGGCTGTGAAAATTTTAGAGGACGATTTAAAATTAGCTGAATTATTGAAACAATCGTCTGGTGCAACTGGAACGTCAAGTGTTGTTAATACAACAACAACAACTGCTGTTCAACCATTGCAAATTGACGCGACTGCCATAAATTCAGAAAAGGAGAATGTTGCCAAAATTATAACAGGAAGTGAAAATCAAAAAAAGAATAATGAAATTCCTGTCAAAAAAAATGGAGATAAAGAAAAGAATAAAACTGTTGAATCTTCTTCTTCTTTGATTCCCAAAAATGCTGATCAAAAGACTGCTCAAGGTAAGAAAATTAAAAAAACTTTTCTACAAATAAAAATTAAGTTAATAATATAATAGAAACTAATTGTCAAATATTAATTATAAATTATTTGCAGTTCAAGAAACGAATACCAAACAACCAGCAACGACCATTTTGGGAACGACGATATCAACGCCAGATAGTAAAAATACAACACCAGACGATGTAGTGATGTTAGTTGTAAATTCATCGGGAAATCAAGCACAAAATACAATAAAAAATGTTGCAAAAAATTCAAATGAACTTCCCAATGAATCTCAACAATTGAATGTCAAAGTATCAACAACAGTAAATGATTCAAAAATAAATGACAAATCTGAAGATTCAATTGTGCAAAATAAAATGGAAAATATAAAAGAAAGAACTAAAGGTGATGTGGAAATAGTTAATGAAATTAATAAGTCTTCAAATAAACGTTTGGAGGCAAATGTTCAGGGTACTGAACATCAAAAGACTGAAAGTATAAATAAAAATAGTGATTTGAAAAGTGATCAAACGCCGTCAAACATTCCGGGATTAGTGACAACATCATTGACTGATGTGACAAACAATTCAAATGTGAATAATAGTGGTGTTGAAAAAATTCGTAATCAAGGTAGTGGTGTATCAATGAAGTCATCAGCTGGAAAATCTTCGGATTCAGTGGAAAGTATTAGATCAACGGATACTGGAGTTAGTCTCAATACAGTGAGAGGAGTTTCTTCAGCCAGAGAGAAGAAAGGCGTGCACATGGAAAAAAGGACACAGGAAATTGAGACACTCAGTGGAAATGTTGGTCATCTTGAAAGAAATGGAGAACCAAGGTGAGTTTTTATTTACCTTGCAAATCGTCTTTATTAACAAATGCACAAAAGGATTAAAAACACTTTTAGCGGATTTACGGATGCTTGATAAAAAAAACTGATTCTATTAATTCAAATCATTATCCTGCACTGGTGAACATCCAGTCATAGATTTGTTCCACTCATAAATAATTCACGGTTATTTAATTATTCTATTGAGAAAGTTTCATTTCCGATGTCTTCTATTTTCACCTTTTTTGGTGTTACATAACAACTTTTCAAAAGTTAAAAAAGGAATTTTTTTTCTCTTTGCAATAATGATAAACTAATAGCTTTTTCTATTAGCCTAGAAATAAAATTACAGCCAAAATGTCTTGAAGAATAGTGCAATGTTGATATTATCGCCTTCTCGCGTTCCTCTTTCATAAAAGTGGAACAATGCTATAAAGCTTAAACACACACATATATATATATAGAGCGAAAGCGTATACAAGTTTAAGATAAAATAAAACCATCAGGTGTTTTTTGAAATAATTTCTAGATCTAAAAAGAAAATTTTCTTAAAATTTATTTAATATACGAAAATAATAACTATTTCAATTATTTCTAAGTGTGCCATATGGTGGTCAATTATTTTTTTTAGCCAATTTTCTTCTAGATTGTAAATCTTCTAAAAAGAGTATAGTTTTAGAGATAAAATCTTTTAAAACATTAACTTTGCTCACTGTTTAATGACAAACATTACTGCATTATTTTTAAAACTATTATTATTGTCAGTTAAAAATTCATTAATTTTTACAATTAATACCTTTTTTATTAAAAACGAAAAATTAAAAATAATTCCATTTTAGAAAATTCTTAGAATATATTTGATTCAAACCAGTTTTTATAGACAAAATGAAATTTTGGGGGAAAAAAAAATTCAAAATTCTGAATTTCAATGAATGGTATCAGGATAAATCAGGATTTTTATCTGATATAAAGATTGTGAAATAGTAAAATGAAAAAGAGAGACTATTTCAACTGGCCATATATAAACCATGCAAATCTCAACTAAACACGGACAGTCCAGTTCATGTATAAGGTCCAGAGTTCCTTAACCCCTTATGTTAGTTATAAACCTCTACCTTCGGTTTCTGTCCAAAGCAAGCGAGTTTATCGATCCGAAAAAGATTTACGTCGACGCCTACCGTCCGAGGAACTCTTGCGGGGAGGACCAAAGGGGGTGGGGTAATAAATTAGAATGCAGAGGGTGGAAGCTTTGACTCTCTCTCTCTCTCTCAGGTAATTGCATCGTTGCATCCCCTGTAATTAACGCACTCACGTGACCAGCTTCTAGTATAACTCTTTTATAAGAAATTTTTTTTTCCCTCCAAATTCATTTCCTGAAATTGAATTTACCAAAAAAAAAAAAAAAAAAGAAAATCGTTTTCATCGAATGATCGAATAATCGAATAATTTATATTTCCTTTTTCGAATGATTTACAAAATTTTCGTTTAGAAATTCTTTAATTGGTATTAATTAGAAAATAGCTGGGAATTATTATTATTTATTTTATCAGAAATTGTTGTTCATTGAAGATATATTTTTGCAAAATATTTTTTTTCTACTAAAAAAATTAAAAAAATTGACATTAATATTTTTCTATAAAAAGGTTATTATCATTTTAAAGCTCACGAAATTATCTTTTAAAATCATTAATTTTTTATGCTTAATAAATTGTATATTTAAATTTTATAGCTACTTTTACAATTTATTAATTTAAATTTAATAATTAAATTAATTTTATTAATTATTAAAATGCAGTTTTAGTTTATTATAAATTTTACTACAACAGAGAAAGAATGATATTTTAATTTAAAATTACTAAATTCCATTAAAACAGAATTGAATCACAATTTTCGTTCCTTGATTTGTAACCATATTTCATTTATCGGAATATTCGTTAAAGTTTTATCACTCATTTCCAAAGGAATAGGAGTTTTTGAACAAATTGTAACACTACATCTAGAGAAAATGTGAAAAATTACAACTTTAAATATCAATAGTGCAAATCTATAGGCAATACAGTTACGTGGACCAATTCCAAATGGCATATATTTTGGAGTATTGAGATGAATTTTTTCATCTTTGAGAAAACGATCAGGATCAAATTTTTTTGGATCGGTGTAATAATTAGAATCTTCATGTATTGCCTCAGCTGGAAGCCATAAAAATGTTCCGGTTTTTACTGTAAAGGGTTTTGAATCCGGTAATGCTGGTGGTAGTAGAAAATTTTGAGAACACATTCTTTCAACTAGTGGTACAACTGTATGTAATCTCATTGTTTCTTTAATAACAGCATCCAAAAATTTCAAATCATTAATATCCTTATAAGCATCGTTATCAATAATTTTATTAGATAATTTTTTCTTAAATTTTTCCTGAAGTGAATCAATTTCTTCTTGAAGTCTCTTTTGTATTTCTGGATTAATTGCTAGTTCATAAGACAAATATGTCAATACTCCAGAAGTTGTATGAAATGCGGCGATAAAAAATACATAAACTTGTGCGGACATTTCATTAAGAGTGATATTTTTATTTTTATCATTCGCATCTATCATTAAATGTATCATATTTGAAATAAATGGATTTTTTTCTTTTCTTTCATCAATTGTAGATTTGACGATATTTTTGAATAATTTCGCTATTCCATTATCGAGAAAGGACTTATTGAACATTTTACATATTACAGGAAACATGGTTAATAGAAGTCTATTACGTTTTAATTGCTCCAAATTAGCAGCTCGAGGTCCTATAATGTATAAATCATTTTCTTGATCCTTGACACAATTTGTTGAAATTCCATAAGAACAAGATGCTATTAAATCTGTCACTAATTTTTGAAATAATTTTCTCACATCCACTTCTGTTTTCTTTTCATTTAACATGTGATTAACAAAATTATCAGCCTGTTGAAATATTATCTTAAACATTATTTTCATTTTACTTGATGTGAATGATGGTGTTAATATATTTCTCATTTGATGCCATTTATCATTTTTTAGAGAGAATAAATCATTGCCTAAAATTGGATCTTGATTTTCATCAGCAAATCCTTTACGGTTTGTAAATGATTCAAAATTTTTAATTCCAATCGATTTAATCAATTCTGGATCACAAATAACGAGAATTGGATTTTTAAATTCATAAAATCCAAAATATTTTGCTTTTGATTTTGATTTATAAATGTTGGCTATCATTTTAGGTAGGGAAGTTTTATTAAAAATTACTGGTCCCATGTTGCCTAACAATGGCCAAGGTTTTATGTGCGGAACACCTGATTTTTTAAATATATCATTTTTTGTGTATAAATATAATAAATAAATTCCTAGCCATCCAGCAATAAGTGATAGTATTAGAGTCCACATGATTAGGTTCGAATTTTTTTGCACTAACTATAAAATAGAAAAAGAAAAATTAAAATTGTATGAATACAGATAAAAATTATTTAAAAAATACATACCAGTTAAATTTCGATGAAAATAATTAATTTATAACAATTATGCTGTAATCTAATTTATTAATTTTAATTATAATTTATTATAATTTTCCATTCCTTTGAAAATTTAAGAAATTATAAACTAAAATATTAAAATTATAATGAATTAATATTGGTCAATCGATGTCAGAAGTCACGTATCAAAATTACGTATCATCACTTATCATTGCTTCGAAAAATATCACTGCTTATGAATTTTATTAATTAACATAAAGCTCCGATTACAGTATTTTAATTTGATAATGTAGAAAACTATATGATCTCTGAATTTAAATATTTATTTAAAATATAATTTGAAAACAATACCCTTTAAAAAAAAAATACAAAATTTTTGAGAATTTTTAATATTTTTTTGTAAATTAAAATTTTATTTTCAAATTATAACTATTTTTAAATTCTAAACTAAATTCTAACAATTTGAAAATAAAATGATAAAAAGTTTTAAAATATTTATGGAAATTTCAAAACGAATAAAATTAAAATAAATTTTCAATAAATTATTTCTAGAGCAAAAGACAAAACAATATTTAATAAATGTTGAAAAAAACTATTTTATTCAAAATTTTATTACATTAATCAAATAAATTTTATGATAAAAAATAAATATTTACTCGAACTGGATAATTTTTATTTGAATCAATTTTTTTTTAAATAAAAAAAAATTTTCTAAAATTTTCTTTCCTCAACTTGCAACCAAATTTCATTCTTTGGAACATTTGTCAAAGTTTTATCACTCATTTCCAAAGAAATTGGAGTTTTCGAACAAACATTAACATTACATCTTGCAAAAAAATGAAAAACAACAACTTTGAATATTAATAATGCAAATCTATACGCAATACAATTACGCGGACCAATTCCAAATGGCATATATTTTGGAGTGTTGATAAGAATTTTTTCATCTTTAAGAAATCGATCAGGATCAAATTTATTTGGATCATTGTAATAATTTTGATTTTGATGAATCGCTTGAGCTGGAATCCAAAGCATTGTTCCTCGTTTTAATGTAAATGGTTTTGAGTGAGGCAAAGCTGGTGGTAGTACAAAATTATCAGAACAAACCCTCTCTAAAATTGGTACCAATGAATGTAATCGTAATGCTTCTTTAACAATAGCATCCAAAATAGTTAAATTATTAATATCTTTATAATAATCATCATCAATAATTTCATTAGATAATAATTTTTTCTTAAATTTTTCCTGAAGTGAATCAATTTCTTCTTGAAGTCTCTTTTGTATTTGTGGATTAATTGCCAAATCATAGCATAAAAATGTTAATAATCCAGATGTTGTATGAAATGCACCGAGAAAAAAAATAAATACTTGAGCGGACATTTCATTGAGTGTGATATTTTTATTTTTATCATTTCCATCAATCATTAAATGTATCATATTTGAAATAAATGGATTTTTTTCTTTTCTATCCATTATTGTTGATTCAACTATATTTTGAAATAATTTTGTGATATCTTTATTGAGAAATGTCATTCCAAATGTTTTCCAAATTTTAGGAAACATTGATAGAAAAAATTTCTTTCTCTTTAGAGTCTCTAAATTTACTGCTCTTGGTCCTAGTATATAAAGATCATTTTCTTCATCATTGACACAATTTGAAGAAATTCCATAAGAACAAGAAGCTATTAAATCTATTACTAATTTTTGAAATGATTTTCTCATATCCATTTCAATTGTTTTTGTCTCCTTAAAAATGTGATTTATAAAATTATCAGATTGTTGAAATATTATTTTAAACATTATTTTCATTTTACTTGATGTAAATGATGGTGTTAGTATATTTCTCATTTGATGCCATTTATCATTTTTCAGTGAGAAAAGATCGTAACCCAAAATTGGATCTTGATTTTCATCAGCAAATCCATGACGATTTGTAAATTGTACAAAATTTTTTATTCCTATCGATTTAATCAATTCTGGATCACATATCACGATAATTGGATTTGTAAATTCATAAAAACCGAAATATTTTGCTTGTGGTATTGAATTGTAGTAATTAATTAGCAATTTAGGTAGGGAGGTTTTATTAAAAATTACAGAACCCATATTGCCTACAATAGGCCACGGTTTCATATGTGGAACATTTGAACGTTTAAATATATTTATTTTTGAATATAAATAAATTCCTAGACATCCAATTATAAGGGATATTATTGTTGCCAAAAAAATCATATTTTTTTTAAAATTTATTTTAACAAAAAATTTTCAAAAACAAATAAATGTTTGTTTATTGAGTGAAAATATTGACTCTATGACTTTTACTGTAGCACTTACTGAACTGACTGATATCTTGTTTTTGAATATGAATTGTAGGAATATTTTTGCATTATTTGTATAATAGGCTAGACAGCGAGTTGAATATCGATTAATTTTTGCAGAATAATAAAAGAATCTTGCATAAAAGATAATAGATAATTTATTTTTTAAAAAAATAATTTTTTATTTATCTTGTCTTTTTTCTATTCTCAACCAAATTTCTTTTCCCGGAATTCTGGTAAATTTACAATTACTCATATTTAACGGAATTGGAGTTTTTGAACATATTCTAATATTACATCTAATTAGAATGTGAAAGAAAAATAATTTTATAATCAATAGAGCTAATCGATTTCCAAAACATTTTCGTTGACCAATTCCAAATGATAATATAGAAAATGGATTTTTTTGAAGAAATCGTTCAGGCTTGAATTTTTCTGGTTCTTCAAAATATTTTTTATCATGATGAATAGCTTCAATTGGAATTAACAAAAGTGTTCCCGGTTTTATCGTAAATGATTTTAAACCCGGTAATGCTGGTGGTAATTGAAAATTGTTTACAGATTCTCTTTCCAATGGTAAAAGTGAATGAATTCTCAATGTTTCTTTAATTGCAGCATCCAAATATTTTAAATCATTAATATCGTCTAATGTAGGTTGAAATGATTTTTCATATTTATTTTCAAGTAGAAAAATTTCTTTCTGTATTTTTTCCTGTATATTGGGATTAATTGCCAAATGATAGAATAGATATGATAAAACAGGTGCAGTTGTATCAAAACCGGCTGCAAAAAATAAATATGTTTGTGCTGTAATATCTTCGATATTTATTTTCCTCTTATCCGAAGAATCAATAAGTAAATCAATTAAATTAAAGGAAAATTCGTCTGTATTTTTTCTTTTAGCTATTGAATATTCAACAATATTTCGAAAATATTTTAATGTTCCACTATCGAGATAACTCATTTTAAAAAATTTCCATAATAAAGGTGACAGTAATTGAATTTGTTTTTTCTTTTCTAATTCCTCGAGATTTACAGCTCGATGACAAAAATTGTAAAATTCTTCATTTTCATCTGTAACACAATTGCTGACAATACCATAACTACAGACATTTATAATATCCGTCATGTATTTTTCAACATATTTTTGACTATTTATATCGACAGCATCTTCATTTTTAAGAATATGATCTAAAAATATTTTTGTCTGTTGTGATATTAATTTTGTTAATAATTTCAATTTTCTTGGTGTATAAGCAGGTGATAGTGATTTTTTCATTTCTTGCCACTTATCATATTTCGCTGAAAACATCTCGTTTCCCATAACTGCATCTTGAATTCCATTGCCAAGATTAAAACCCCTTCGATTAGGAAATATTTCCCAATGTTTTATTCCAATTAATTTTATTATTTCTGGATCACGCAATAAAATAATTGGTCTTTCATATTCATAAAATCCAACATATTTTGCATTAGGATTTAAATTATATAATTTAAATATAAAATCAGGTATGGACATTTTTTTCAAAATAATTGGTAACATATTTCCTACAATGGGCCATGGTTTTATATACGGAATTCCAGCTTGTTGAAATAAATCCATTTGTTTGCGAAAATAAATGTAAATTACAAAACAACAAATGAAAAATAGAAAAATTGTATTCAAAAAAGACATATTTTGATAATTATTATTTTTCGAATGAAATTTTTTTTTAAATTTTAACGCACTTTTATGTATCAGGCGACAATGTTAAAAAATGACTGAACCTTTTTAAAAATTTTAAGAATTTTTAATTTATTACTTTGACTTATAGGTTTTTTTTAAAAAAAAAAAAGTTCTTTATAAATTATTTATTGACTTAAAAATACATTTTTCATAAATTAAATATTTCATTGGTTATTTTAATTTATAATTCAAAATCGCATATATGGATTTAAAATTTTTTTCAGTAATTAATATTTAAAGATCGTTTAAAATACGAATAAATTGTTTATCAAAATAAATAAAATAATATTATAATTATAAATTTGAATAATACTAATAATAATAACAGTATTAATAAATAATAATCAGTAAATTGTTCAGATAATATATACCTACATTTTATACTTTCAAATTAAAAATACATAATTTATTGTCTAAAGGGCATAAATCAAAATAAATTTACGTTAATTATTGTAAAATTCTAAAACTAAAAATGGTTATGGAATTGTTAATTATCAAAATTTGCAGTAGAGAATTAACTTTAAAAAAAAGCACTGCGAATACATTTTTAATAAATAATAACCTTTGTCAATGGAGATTACAAAAAATTAAGAATCAGAATTTTAAAGGATTTTTTTTCCAAATTAAATTAAATTTTTTTGTTAATTAATAATAATAGTTAATAATCTATTAGTTACAATTTTTTTTCGATGTGCTTCAGGAAATTTTAATTAATTCAATATACACTGAAAAAAGGGTTTGGTATTGACAACCAAACGTTTGGTTGGTATTTAAGCGACCAAAATTTTTTTGTTGAATCAACAAAATTTTAATTATCTCAACCCCAATTTGTCTCAACCCCTCAATTTTTTCTCAACCAAAATTAGAAAAAAAGGATTTTTGTTGTCCTAACTAAAGTTTAATTGGGACAATCAAAATTTTGTTGATTCAACAAAAAAATTTTGCTTAAATACCAACCAAACGTTTGGTTGTCAATACCAAACCCTTTTTTCAGTGTAATATTCAAGATTTTCATTTCTTATTTTTTTTTTAGTAAAAAATTTGTTTTGCAAAATAAGACTCACTGAACAGATAATTATTTTAGATAATTTATTTAATCGTAATTTAATTTAATCATAATTTATTTAATTTAATAAAATTATTCAATGGAATATTTTTGAAAAATCAGTGAAAAATTATTATTAAATATGAAATTATCATATTAGATATTTTTTTCTGAAAATTAGTTAAAAAAATAATTTTTTCCCATTATTCATTAGCGTTACAATTGATTCGTTTTTCAATTTGAAGTATAATACTTTTGTCAGGTGCTTTCGTTAATTTTCTTCTATTCATTTTTAATGGTATTGGCGTTTTTGAACAAACTTGAAGATTACAATTGGCTAATATGTAAAATATTATAATTTTCAATGCCTGTATGGAAAATCGATTTGCAATACAATGTCTAGGTCCAACACCAAATGGTAGATATGTATATGAATTTAAAATATTTTTTTCATTAACATTAAAAAATCGATTGGGATTAAATTTTTCCGGCTCTTTAAAATATTTTGAATCACGATGAATTGATTCAATTGGAATTGATAGAATTGTTCCTGGTTTTAGTGTAAATGGTTTTAAACCAGGTAATGCTGGTGGTAATTGAAATGATTGTGAACAAACTCTTTCCAATGCTACAATTGTCGTATGTAATCTCAATGATTCTTTAATAACAGCATCTAAATATTTGAGATTCATGATTTCTTCGAATGTCACATTATGGGAAATTTTATTTTCTTGATTTGATAATAATGTTTCATCATTTAATGTTTTATATTTATAGGAGAGTGAATCAATTTCTTGTTGTAATTTTATTTGTACCTCGGTATTAATTGCAATGTTGTAGCACAAATATGATAATGTATCGGATGTTGTAAGAAAAGCACCGGCAAACATAATAAATACTTGTGCTGTCATTTCGTTTATTGATAATTTTTCCACATTATCCGGAGTGTCAATCATCATATCAATCATATTTGATTTAAAATTTTTTTCCCCATCTCTTTCATTCATTCTAAATTGAACGATATTTTGAAAATAATTTCTTGCTTTATCACTGAGATATTTGAGACCTAAAATTTTAAATATAAATGGACATTGAATTAAAAATAGTTTTAATTTTTCAACTTTCTCTGGATTAATTCCATTGAGATCCTCGGCAAGTTGTTCAACACCTTCGTCCCTTATGAAATTTGTCGATATACCAAAAGCATAAGCAAACATTATGTCAATTGCAAGTTTTTGAAATAATATTTTCATTTCTGTCTCCATTTCATTCTGATTGTGAATATATTCCAAGGCGTCTTGTGTTTTTTTCGCTGTTAAATTATAAAATTGTTTAAATTTACCTGAAGTAAATGATGGACTTAGAATATTTCTCATATGACGCCATTTTTCATCTTTTAATGATGAAATATCTTGTCCTAAAATTAAATTATGATCTTCTTCAGCAAATCCTCGACGATTATAAAAAATTTCATAATTTTTTGTTCCAATTGATTTAATTATTTCTGGATCACGAATCATAATAACTGGCGTTGAGAATTCAAAGAATCCAACATATTTTGCTTTTGTATTCATAAAATAAATTTTCTCCAATAATTGACCAAATGACATTTTTTGCATTATTATTGGACCCATATTTCCTATAATGGGCCATGGTTTTATACATGGAATACCTGATTTTTCAAATAATTCCTGTTTTCTTGAAATATAGGAATATAATGCAAGACAGAATAGAAAAATAATAAAAAGTATATTCCAAAAAAACATTTTTTTTCACTTTAAAAATTGAATTGATTTACTAAAAAATCAGTTATTGCTCTCAATGCTCAAATATGACTAAGAGTATTTTATTTTTTATTCTTCTAATTTATTTTAATTGCATATAGATTTTTGAATTTTGTTATAAATTATTTATATCTACGATAGCATAAACTTTTAATGACATTGCGCTCGTTAATATTTAATAATGAATATATTGAATTTTGGGAAGACGAAAAAAAAAATTTCAATGAGGCTCATGAATTTTTTTCAAATTTCAAATAATTTGATCTAAACTTTGTTATTTAATTTTATATTATTCTTATTTAGCTTAATATTGAACTCGTAGGAGAATTTTTATTTAAATTCTAATTTGATCAATTTTATTTTAATAATTATTTTGCCTAATATTCGCCCAAATTTTTATTCAATATAATTGTTATTAAATATTTTTTTTATCATTAAATGAAGATACATAAAAAATTTGGCAAATTATTAGGTTTCAATGGGATTAAATAATAATTAGGCCAAACACAAATTAGGTTTAATTAACATTTATTTAAATTTACATAAAAAAAAATATATTTATCTCAAAAATCAATAAAAAATTTTTTGTAAAGAAAATTATTTTTTCATATATTTATTGAGGTAAATGTATTTTTATTTTATTTAAATTAATTTTTATTTGGTTTTCAAAAATTTCTCAATAAAGAAAAATTGTAAACAGATATTCAGATTAATCTTTCCTCAAAACGAAGCATAATTTCCTGTTCAGGAATATTGATTACTGAATTTTTTAACATTTTCACCTCTAACGGTGTTTTACAATCAAGTTTAACATTATATTTAGTAAAAATATAAAATATAACAATTTTTATAATCTGTAGAGAAAATCGATTTGCAATACAGTGTCTTGGTCCTGCACCAAATGGCAAATATGTATATGAATTTGTAATAATTTTTTCATTAACATTAAAAAATCGTTCGGGATTAAATTTTTCCGGCTCTTGATAATATTTACTATCAAGATGAATTGCTTCTGATGGAATAATTATAAATGAACCAGGTTTAAGAATAAAGGGTTTTAAGCCAGGTAACGCTGGTGGTAATTGAAAAGTTCGTGAACAAATTCTATCAAAAAATGGTAATGCCGTATGTAATCTCAATGTTTCTTTAATAATTGAATCTAAAAATTTTAAATTCATTATATTTTCCAATGTTATTTTATTTGCAAATAAATTTTCCTCCTTTGATAATGTTTCATTGCAATAATTATTTCGAAGTGAATCAATTTCATCTTGTAATTTTTCTTGTATTTCGGTTTTCATTGCCAGCTCATAACATAAAAACATTAATGTCTCAGATGTTGTATGATTGGATGCGATAAATATAAAAAATACTTGTGCTGCCATTTCTTCCAATGATAATTTTCCCATTTTATCCGATGTATCCATCATCAAATGAATCATATTTGATGAATTTTTAAAATTTTCCCTATTTCTATTTTCAATAACAGATTGAACAATATTTATGAAAAATTTATTTGCCCGTTCACCAAGGAATGATAGTCCCAATAATTTCCAAATTAAAGGACAATTGAGTAGTGTAAATTTTTGTCTAAATAATCTATCGACATTTAAATCTTCAGTTTCGGCAACATAAAAACTATCACCATCTTCTTTTATACAATTTGTTTGAATACCATAAAAATAGGAAAATATTATATCGACTATAAATTTTTGAAATAATATCCTTAAATTTATAGCGGTTCCTTGTTTTTTATGAATTTGTTCTAATAATGATTGAACATTTTTTTTTATTAATTCATGTGACATTTTCATTTTATTTGAAGCAAATAATGGCGTAAGAAGATTTCTCATTTTATGCCATTTTTCATCTTTTAGTGATGAAATATCTTTTCCTACAATTATATCCTGATTTTCTTCAGCTAATCCTCTACGATTGTAAAACACATCGAAATTTTTTGCACATATTAATTTCACAATTTCCGGATCGCGAATTATAATCAATGGTGTTGTAAATTCAAAAAATCCAATATATTTTGCTTTTTGATTTAAATTATATGAATTTTTTAACAATTGTGTATAGGACATTTTTTTGAGAAATATTGGTCCTAAGTTTCCTAAAATAGGCAATGGTTGTTTATAAGGAATTCCTGATTTTTGAAAGTAATTTATTTTTTTGTAAAAATAATACAAACAAAACAGTGGGAAGAAAAATATGAAAAAATACATAATGATTTTATAATTAGTTTATAGTATTACTTTTTTTTTAATAATGTCAAAAAAAAAGAAAATATAATTTGAGTTTCTCTTAGAACTGTCAGCACGGTTCTAAAAAGAAGTAAAAAAAAAAAAAAATTAAAACTACGTAGCTTGCTACTTCTTATCTAAGCTCAACTTAGCATTAAACCCTCCCCTTTGAATATTACATAATTTCACAAAAGTTACGTAGTTTTAATGAAATTTTCCATTTAACAGTCATAAAAATAAATCAGAAGCGAACAGACTAATTTATAGAAAAAGTATTTTTATTAATAAAATTCTGTTCGTAAATAAAAAAAAAAAAAAAAAAGAAATGTATTTTTATAATATAATTTTCACGCTAATTGTTGGTTGCCTAGGAACATATTTTTTCTTTTTTAGAAAAATATACACATTTTATAAAGCAGGCATTCCATTTTTAACACCGTTGCCAATTTTTGGTAATTTGACTGGTTTAATTTTTCAAAGAATATCATTGTCACAATTATTAAAAAATATTTATAATTTAAATCCAAAAGCAAAATATGCTGGATTTTTTGAATTTACAACACCAGTGATATTAATACGCGATATTGATCTTGTGAAATCGATAATGATAAAAAATTTCGATACATTCACTAATCGTCGTGGTTTTGCCAATGAATCAGAAGACAAGCTGATTAGTATGGAATTATTTTCGGCAAAAAATGAAAATTGGCATAAAGTGAGAAATCTCATTAGTCCATCATTTACATCAAGTAAAATGAAATTAATGTTTACAACAATTGCAGAAAAATCACAACAATTAATAAATCAAATTATTAAAACAAAAAATATTGAATTTGAAATGAAAATATTATTTAAAAAACTTATGACTGATATTATGGCATCATGTGCATATGGTATTAATTCAAATTCAATTGAAAATGAAAAAGATGAATTCTATTTAATGGGAATTGATGCTATAAATGTGGAAACATTAAATAGAAAAAAACTTTTATTAAAATATTTTCCATTTATTTGGAAATTATTGGGATTAACATTTATCGATAGACATGTGATTAAATATTTTAGAAATATTGTTAATAATATAATAATTGAAAAGAAGGAGAAAAAAATTAATCGTCCAAATATAATGCATTTATTGATTGATGCTATTGATGAAAATATTAATAATAATGGTAAAGAAATGAGTATTGAACATATTACAGTTGAAGCAGCATGTTTTTTTATGGCATCACTTGTCACATCAACGGAAGTTTTTACATATTTTTTTTATGAAATGGCAGTGAATTCAGAAATACAGGAAAAATTGCAAAAAGAAATTGATTTATTTATTTTGAATAAATCCAATGAAAATGAAATTGAAAATCAAAAAATAACATTTCAAGATATTAATGGTCTGAAATTTTTGGATGCTGTACTGAAAGAAACATTAAGATTACATACAGCAATAACATTTTTGGAAAGAGTTTGTTCAAAGGATTTTGTTTTACCACCACCAACGCCTGGATCAAAATCATTTACCATAAAACCTGGAATGCTTTTATGGATTCCATCCGAAGCTATTCATCATGATTCCAATAATTATAAAAATCCAGAAAAATTTTATCCCGAAAGATTTTTTAATGGAGAAGAAAAATTTGGTTCTATTTTTCTACCATTTGGAATTGGACCTAGACAATGTATTGCATATAGATTTGCAATGTTGATATTTAAAGTTGTAATTTTTCATTTTTTTTCACGATGCAGTGTTAAGGTTTGTTCAAAAACTCCAATTCCACTTTCTATGATGAATACATTGACAAAAGCTACTAAAAATGAAATTTGGTTGCAAATTATAGAAAGGGAAAAAATTAAATAATTGTATCATTAAAACGTCATAATATTTTTTTTTTGAGGGGGGGAAGTAATTAAAAATTATTTCGATTTTGGTGTGATTTCAAATTATAAATTTTTAATAATAATATTCAAATTAAAAATAAAAGAATCCTATTAGTGATTTTTAATACATGAATTATTAATAATTTACTAATTTACATACTACATTTAAAGAAATATGTTTAAGTCATATCATGAATAGATACAGAGTGCTGTTTATGAGTAAGCTTTTTTTTTTAAAATTACCTGACATTGTACTATAAATCTGAAAATTTTAATACTAAGTTTAATACCATATCTAAAAAAAAACTTTTCTAAATGAATTTTCATTTTTAGTTTAAAATTTAAAAATTCCTACAATGTCATTTTTATTTTTTAAATTTGTCATTTTTTAAAAAAAGTTAACATAAAATTTTTAAAATCTATTTATTTCTAATAAATTACATTAAATTCATCAAAAGAGGAATATATTATAAAAAGCACAATTTTGTAAAATAAAATAATTTCATATGTAATAATAAATAAATAAATAATTTTTTTTTGTATTAAAAGTAAGAAAGAAAAATTAGAATTTAATAAAAAAAAAAAATTTTCTATTTGCGCAAGAAGAATTTTTTTGTCGTGTATAAAGCAAATAGAAGATAAAATTTTTGAGCTCTCAAACAAAAATAAAAAAAAAAAAAAAAAAAAAATACAAAAGAATAAAATGACCCAAGTCCATTCGCGTGCGGCCAAGGTCGATACTATTTCACTCAGTTTGCTTATAGTTACCCATGCACCTTCATATATATATAGACCTTAAAATTTAGTTACTCACAATTGATGTTTAACGTCTCTCCTTTCATCCTAGGTCACTTACTAAAGTCCCCCATTCCCCTACCTCCTCCAATCCACCCTTCATTTCATTAATGATAATTTCATATA